TTTAAGGCGATGCAGACTCGCCGATTGGGGTCCGCAGGACAAGTGAGACTAGTGTTTGGAGACTGTAGGTGATATGGCTGAGAACCGAAGTGTCGCAGATATATGCACACATTATCCTCATCTTAACGCTATATCGAATCTCACCATTTTCTCATTCTTCCTTTCTCTCGTTTAGTACTTTATATTTCTTTTGATTGAATTTTCTTTTCTTCATCTTCCACTTAACTGCCTTTTGACTTGATGTGGTGATATGAACTGTGGCAACTCGGACCGTTACGCAGTAATGCCTGGTGCTATGTTGATTCGAATGGTCACTGTTTGCTATGTCAAATCAATAATTTCAATGTGTTAGTTAACTGTCATGAAGACGCATTGCATGTCGGGGATTACGAAATTGAAATTGAATATCTTTGGATTAAGTTTTACTGAAAGATCTAGTTTGCATCTGTCTCAGATCGTTATTTATGCAGCTGTTAATTTGTTTAGATAAATAACTTTATTTAAGCTCTTCTAACGTGACTATCATTGTGAAAATCTTGTAAACATTCTTCCAAAATTATACTGTTATTTGGGTGGAGTATGCTATTAGTTGTCAGTGTGTAGTTAAAGCCGCATTACAGATAGTGGAGTCAGCAAGTTTGGAGTCATGTTTTTATGCCAACTGCATATATGATCAAATCAGTTTTTCAAGTGTTGAGGAGAAAAGCCAGATTCGATATTTTTTCTGTAAAATTCACCAGTAAGTATAATTGTTACCGAAAGTTCTGAATTCAAAAGAGCAGAAACATGATAAGTACTGGAGAATACGTTTACAGAATTGTCTTCCGTCACCTTCAACGTAATGTTTTTATAATTCAGTTTATCTTGTGATAGTACTTCGAGATACAGTTTCTGTAAATCTTATTTTAACAGTTAGTACAACGTATCGGACAATAACTGATACAAAGGCAGTTTTGTGACCGAATATGGGAATGTCAATTGGAACTAGCATCTGACTATGTAAGATATAGTTAATAGTTTCAAAAGAGGATGAAGATTATACTATATGTAGAATATGACTTCACTTTCGATTCCTTGATTGATAAGCAAAAATTCTAGTGATATCGTTGCTTGCTGGGTTTTAGTCAGTTCCGAAGGTTTAACTGTTTATGTGAGTATTTGCTCATCCTTCATTTATTCATTGATCTTTAAAGAAATCAATGCGCTCTCAGGCAAATAAATCATGAGCGAAATAAATGCCATTCTGATAGTCCTGGTCACTGTGTAGCTGTAGCTTAAGGAATGACTATCGACCAATGGGTTATGGGTTCGAACTCAGATTCATCTACTGAGGTCTGGTCTCCGCCTAGGTAGTATTATCGACCCTTACAAAGTAAATATGGATCATTACCTACTGCTGGAATGTTCACAAGGTGGTGGAGTGTGTTTCGTTCGATTTCTGGTCTGTGTTTGTAGTCTGAAATGTAGTTTACTAGGCGATTTTCCATGTGGAATTTTCTTAAAATGCTTGTAGAAATATTCATTTTGTGTTGTCAGGAGAAGGTTATATATATATATATATATATATATATATATATATATATATATATATATATATATATATATATATATACGCCTTTCAAGATATTGGAATTAACTGTCAGGGGACAAAAGCCTGTTATGAATATCCTCTGGAAAATCAAACGAGCCATGATCAGTTGTATACCTCTGTCTTGATAGTGAACAATAAAACTGACAATCAAAAAAAGGCTAACTTGATTTCAAGTTTATTGTAAACAGTCGATCAACTATAGGCGAAAAAGTTAAGTTTCAAGGTAGTATTCATCATGGCTAACATCGGTTGGAGAACCTTTGAAAACCTGTGAGCACTGAATAGCTGTTTCGCCCTAGTTTGGGCCTTCCTAGTGAACCACCGTGACCCCTCTAAGGTTTAAACCGAAATATCCAGGTCCCACATCGAGTATGTTCCTAATGAGTTACTGGGCCGGAATCCAATGACCAACATTTTGTCTGCTTCTGTCAGTTTGCAGTATAGCAGTTAGTTCAGACAAATGGTTAGCCATTCAAACGATGTTTGTTTCATATTGGAAATTCAAACAAGATAAAGTGTACAAACTGAATTAAACCAGGTTAAACTGACAAATGTATTGAGGAAAAAAGATATTTGTAAACATTTATTCGGAAGAAGGCGTGTTCATCAATTCTCTTCGTATTAAAAATGACTAGAATCCCACTGAAAGCTTTACTTCAAATGATACCGACTCTGAAAACACTTCAACGAAAACAATAACTATATATTATCTGAGTTGGTACTCATCATGGACTGATAGCAGTTGGATGAACATTGGGAACCCAGGAGCACTGGACAGATGTTTCTTCTTGGTATGGGACCCCTCAGTAGCCAGCAGGTTACCACTGAGCAACTGGAGATATGGACCGCTGGATCACGATTAAGTGGTTCAGTGGCAACATGTTGGGCGCGGAATTCGAAGGCTTTGGGTTATTTCCCTGATGCATTCATGGGTGCTGACTGTTGAAGAGTCTCACACTAGGGTGAAACAGCTATCCGATGCTCCCAAGTCCCTCCAGCTGATGTTAGTTCATGATGAATACCAACTTGAAAGATCATTAAATCCCCATATACCCTTAAATTAAACTATATATTTGTGAACAGTTCTCCACTACAAAGGCACCACATTACAGAGAGTAGGGACATCATCACTGACTAAAATCTACAACTTGGTTAACCCTTAAAACTGGAGCACATTCAAAAGGATTGACAAGATATGAACGTATTATTTGTTAGCTCACACATCGAGCATGTGTAGTCGTTAACCCTTGACTTGACAAATCTACTTCTAACTGATTGGTCGTTATTTCAAACTGGAGTCTACTTATTAAGGTCTATGCAGTTATACATTATTAACTCCCACGCAATTGATTTTGGCTTAGTGTGTGAGCTTGCATGTGGATACTGAGTTACACCTTTATTATTCATTACAATTCGGGCATAGGTGTCTTGGTTATATTGTATTCTCTGAGTTGGCTTGTTTAATCGTGAAGCTCTCATCGTCTTCCTAGACGACATCATCAACACTAACTTCAGTATGAAGTGAACTGTCAATATCTTTCCGTCAGTGATTTAGTAGCTTGCTCTGACGAAGTGGTTTGTGATTGGTTGTCTCCGTTGGTTGTTGTGTCACTGACTGACTGCATAGATTTCCCTGTTGGCTGTTCCTCTCCTTCAACTCTGACCTTTCTGTCGTTTATCATTTTTCTCATTGGTTGGTAGATCGGGTCTGTGTTTATACATCTGTTGATTGCTGACTGACTGACTGCACCTGATGCCAAGCTTCTAGGAATTTTCTGATATCCGTTGTGTTTCCTCTTTCTGTCCAAGATTTCTACATTGTCGAAACTGAATTCATGTCCATAGTTGTTATCCATATGCATTGAAATGAGTGATGAAATGTCATGACGTTTAATAGCCAATTGGTGTTCATGTAGACGAAGGCAAAGAGGGTGACCACTTTGTCCAATGTAGTGTTGATTACAGTTATTGCAATTGATTTTGAGAGTGATATTTGGTTTTTCATCTCGTTGTTGCATCCCTTGGTTTGCATAATAATGTTTGGAGGGAATTTATTGGTTTATGAGCTACACCAATCCCAAGTAGTCTTAGTAGTCCTGTCGTGATTTATGATATATTCTTTATGTACGGCTGGATGATGCGTTTATTGGTTTCTGTGAATGACTTTGTAGTTGATGTTGTACGGGATAGGCATCCTGTGATGAAGTTTGGTGGGTAATCGTTCTTCTCTAGAATAGGCATCAGGTAGTCTTCTTCTTTGTTGTACTGCAGAGTGTTCTCGCTCTTTTGAATAAAGTCTGCATGCAACTAAGTTTGTGTGTTGTTGGATTGTTGCTACTGTAATTGAGGATTTGATCAATGTGTGTTGGCTTCCTGTACTCTTGAGTTTCCAGTTTGGACATGAATTCAGTTTCGACAATGTAGAAATCTTGGACAGAAAGAGGAAACACAACGGATATCAGAAAATTCCTAGAAGCTTGGCATCAGGTGCAGTCAGTCAGTCAGCAATCAACAGATGTATAAACACAGACCCGATCTACCAACCAATGAGAAAAATGATAAACGACAGAAAGGTCAGAGTTGAAGGAGAGGAACAGCCAACAGGGAAATCTATGCAGTCAGTCAGTGACACAACAACCAACGGAGACAACCAATCACAAACCACTTCGTCAGAGCAAGCTACTAAATCACTGACGGAAAGATATTGACAGTTCACTTCATACTGAAGTTAGTGTTGATGATGTCGTCTAGGAAGACGATGAGAGCTTCACGATTAAACAAGCCAACTCAGAGAACACAATGCAACCAAGACCATCCACCTGAGCTACAAATAGCCTCCACTATTTCAAGAGCATAGGTGAACGGACAAAAATTTGAAAATTGTTAATAAAGGTAATGCAGGAATCACCCTGTTATATATTATGTAACAGCTTTTACAGTTTATTAGTTGCAAATGAAATAATGCACTTTGGCTTTAAGTAAAAACAAAACATCATTGTAGAGGAAAAAAAATTAGGCAAGCTAAGCACTTTCGTACAACCTATTACTTGTGTTTATCTCTTTACTGGTTCATTTGTCAATGTATATCTAAAGAGTGATTTTTAGTCAACTATAAATACTACTAATTCTTACTGATTATAAGTAGCATCATGAGTAAGTTGTATTTATTTACATATATATAATAGTGTGATGTATGTATTGAATTGATTGTCATGACGATGAAAGCATATATATCGTAGAAGAATCATTAATAGTAGATTAGAAATGTGAAAGAAAGATTATTTTCTATAAACTGGTGAAGGAAACTTGGATAGATTGGAGGAGTGGTGCTTAATTAGTCTGTATTTATCATCTCTATTGTTTGTTTAAACAGATTTCATTGAATATATACCATTACTTCCTTGTTCTTCTAGAATATTTCAGGATTTTTCATGCAAATAAAATTCACAGTCAAAATTATCCGATTACAAAATCGATTTTGCCAATATAAATTAGGAGTTACAAGTACGCAAGCTTTAGGTCCTTTTCGATACTTTTGCTGATATTGTTGTTTATACTTCTTAGTATTATCAGTTGAAATTTTCCATTTTGTTCGAACTGGATATCCTCTATCCCATTTTGTATAGCTGACATGTTCAAAATTATGCCAAATCCATGAACCACGTGGTCGTGTTTGATGAAGACCTGAAATTTAGATTGAAAAATATCTTAAGTTTTTTTACCAACAAAATAATTCCAATAATTTCATCGGAAATGATTACTGTCTTTAATGCAAAAATTCCCATTTAGACATTTAGTAAAACAAACAATGTGAGCGAAGAAATATTTCTTTTCAATTAGTTCCTCACCGGCCACTGAGTTAACATTCATAATGCCTTTAAAGTTATTTATCACATTCCTTCTCACCTCACCCATCCTCTACGAGTCCGTCTTTTACATACAGCAGAAGCCATAGGAATCCACCTACACAAGCCAAGTCTGTGTGTTCAGAAGAGATTCGTACAGCCTCTTTCTTTGCCTTGGCCATCTGTATAGCTCATTTATTACAACAAGACTCTTCATTTCATTCACCACACAATTCACTATAACTAGTATTTCAATAGCTCCATTATTATTATTATTATTATTATTATTATTATTATTATTATTATTATTATTATTATTATTATTATTATTATTATTATTATTATTACAGACTTAATCATCTTTCTCTCCCCCTACTGTCTCTAATTACCGTCAACAATTTACCATTTTACGTAACAGTTCATTTTTGCTCTTTAGTTATCATTATACAAAATATCAATTATGTAAGAACCTGTTCACAAAATCTTTCTACGATAATTAATCTTTGCTTTAGTTAACTGTCTTAATAACCCGATCAATTATCACCTTCTTGATACTTTGAGATTGATAACCTTTCATTGAACAACTCTCACCACTAGACTGGTATGTAATTTTACGTTTGAAAATGCTATATTAGTGTAGAGCCATTGATGAGGAACTAATTGAAAAGAAATATCTCTTCGCTCACATTGTTTGTATTACTGTCTTTGCCATAAATCAACCATTTAGATCAAGAGATAGCTACCGGCAATTATTCCATGCATAGGCTTAATATGCAATGAATAGTTGAATCAGTTAATCGACAGAATGAAGAAAAGTGTCTGCTGGTATCATCAGATGCGTCTTTTTGTTACAATTTTGAAGAAAACGAGCGGGAAGTCGTTGTAGTGTGAATTCCCTTTATCTTACAGACGACTCTTTCTAGTTTTTAACCAGAAAGCACCCCACTGCTTGTAGTTTCGAAACAGTTAACGTGAAATCCTAGGGCTATCTTCCTTAGCTACTAGTTATTAGTATTCTGTTGGAACTTGGAACAGATGGATTACTCTGATTATCACTTGGTGAATAGGTAATATAATTTCATACTATATCACTAATAATACATCTCGTTAAATAATTTATTTCAGCTCTCAACTATGATTTCTTGAGTGGTTTTCATTGGACGAATGATGATACTGGTAGTGTAAAGCTTCCTAATAGCAAACTTTAGGCCTTCACACCTCTGATGCCCACTTTATCCATTATTACTCAATTTTATCACAGATGTTCTTATGGAGGTTTCCCTCTCGTCATCTGACTACACAGAGATTGACCTAATCATAGGAGAACTTTTGGTAGGCCGATAAAATCTCTGCTTGGTTGCCTTTTGCCAACTTCATCATCTATGACACCGCTGCCACATCTGTTTATCTATTAAGGGTTCAGTGTACTCTGCTACAGTCCCCTTTGTTCTACTCTATAGCTGTGAAACATGGCGAATAAAGGTAGAAGACATGAAAAGACTTCAGGTGTTTCACCACCGTTGCCCTTGTAGCATAGGCCGTGTTTCGTGGTAACACCACGTGAGTAGCGCATAAGTCACGTGTAGACGTTTAGGGAGAAGAGGTAAATAAGTTGGTGTATTTGTGAACTTTCAACGACTGAGATGGTTGCGACGTGTGTTACGTACGCCTAGCCACAGTCTGCTTCGTCGTACAATGTTGGCTGAAGTAGGTTCAGGCTGGAGAAAGACCCAAAGTGGCCAGACTAAAACAATGGCATGAATGCATGGAATCGTTGATTGTTGGTTTGACCTATGTAGAGCGATACAGACTAGGCGATTGGGGTCCGCGGGACAAGAGAGACCAATGGTTGAAGACTGTAGGTAATGTCTCAGAACCGATGTTAGTGTCGCAGATGTATACACACATTATCCTCATCTTAACGCTATACCGAATCTCACCATTTTCTCATCCTTCCTTTCTTTCGTTTAGTACTTTCTACTCCCCTTAACCGGTTTTTCTTTCTTAATAGAAATCTATAAGTTCTCCATATTTACATTGAATTTGCTAGGTGTAAGTCAGTACCAGGGATTTGTTTAACACTTACTCCGAGTAACTGGGCCACAGAGTCAATATAATAGACTAACTTATATGAGTAGTTACGCAATATAATGGATTCGAAATGTACAGTTACTCTTTACCAGTTTTAACTACGCGTGACATCAGAAAAAATATTGACGCGTTTAGCATCTGCTGCTCAACTGGTTGCTGAACTTTAAATGACTATGCTACTGCAAGAAATAGAATTTATACGTAGGTAACATAGGAAAGTACGAGTATTTTATCAACCACTCATATCTTAGAAGTTAAACTGACACAGTAAGATTATTGAGAAGACGTATGCTTTTAGTTTCAAGTAAACAGGTTGATTAGCTGGTAAAATTATAAAGGTTCACCGGCTCATGTGACTGGGAGATGCATTATTTATGGCTAGTCAACGTCTAACATCCAGTGATAATTGAGGTGAACTTATGTTCGAAAAAGATTAAAGCTGGCCAGAATAACACTTGACATCAGTTCATGAAATCTCTGACTGTTGGTCTGAGTCGTGTAAGGGAATATAAACTTCCTGGTTGGCGTCCTCATGACAATCTACACTGATGGCTGGACACTTTGGTTAGTATAGTTCCAAACCAATCTCGATGTTCATATTCATGAATACATTGTCTTCATCCTAACCGTTTTATCACGTTTCATTGCTTGCTTTACTCTGTCTTTTTATGATGAGTAATTGTGTTGTATATGTTTAGATATATAATAAATTGACATAAGACTAGAAGGAAGTTGATAACGATGAGATAGAAACGTGATTTGAGACTGGACAGTAATTGATTATTCGTCTGCATCGTCCTAGGAAGCAGTGAAAGGTAATTTCAGCTGCTTAACAATGTTTCCAGCGTACAGACTACATAAATGTTTGAAAGCATATATATATATATATATATATATATATATATATATTATATATATATATATATATATATATATGCTTTCAAACATTTATGTAGTCTCTACGCTGGGAAAGTTGATATCCAAGAGGCGAATTTCAGTCGGAAGCAAAATCAGTCACAGTTTGCACGATTTACCTCCTATCGACTACACATGCTGTTAATTTGAGTGCAATTATTAGGAATTAAATGAATACCTAAAACCTAGGGAGAATCAATCAGGAGATGAAAATCAGATATGAAGGTTATTCTAGTGATCGTTGCAAAGAGTTTAACACTTAAGTGAATAAAGAATATTCTTTTCAAAAAAGTGTTCAGGTTCTACAGTTACACCTACATATTGAGGAATTATACACTAAAAATGGTGACACTGAGACTGAACTAGAATTGCCTAGACTGGCCACTTTTTATTGAGTTTATCAGTCCGACTGCTGTTGTGAAGCCAGTTACATCGGTCACTGTTCTAGGATTTTAATTTTCCGTGTTTGCAAACACCTCTCAGCGTGGTTAAGTAAAGGTGTGGTATAGACCATTACCAACCTCGCCTAGGCAACTAGTTACTAGCCGGTCCTAAGCCCTGATAAAGAGGGGAGGTTGGCATACGGTTAGTAACCTACCCCAGAAAGCCAATCCAATCGCTAAAGAAACTTCAAAGCACAAAAAATATATAATTAAACTTATTCGTCGCTGGAATCGGAGAGGTGAAGTGACGCCAGTTAATGAAGACCTTCGGGAAACCAATTGGCCGATGTGTCTTCTCTCCCTCGATGAAAGTGGAAGTAAGAATGGGGACATGGAATGTCCACACCATGTGTGAACCTACCAAGGCTGCCCAAATTGCAAAAGACATCAGAAAATATGGCATAGAAGTCCTAGGAATCTATGAAAGCAGACGGAATGAACGTGGACTCTCCAAACTGTCAACTGGAGAGTCAATAAACTACTACAATATTGTCACCCAGACGATAACCATGAGCTCACTGAACTTTCGAGTGGCTATCATGATTCTCTCGCTCAACAGCATCGAAGGCTATCATGCAATGGGAACCAATCTCCTCCACGATCAGGATCATGACAGCAAGGTTGAACTCACAAGGAAGGAAAGTCACAATCATGCAATGCTAATACTACTCACCCACAAGTAGTGCATATGAAGAGAAGGAGGAGGAATTCTACAGACAACTGCAATCAGCACTGGACAAGACCCCATCCCAGTTGGCGACATGGGCAGGATGACATGAATGCCAAACTGGGAGTGGACAACACAGGAAGAGAACCAACCATGGGTCGAGAAGCACTCGGTGAAGTGATGAACAAGAATGGAGAATTGTTTGCAGAATTCCACACATTCAACGATTTGGTGATTGGAACCACTGTGTTCAAGCACAAGGATATCCACAAAGCGACATGGATTTGATTTCATCAGACATCAGGATACACTACACTAAAAATTAGATCGAATTCATCTCAATGGGAAGAAAGTGGAGACGCAGTCAGCCTACTGGACACAAGATCAGATCAAGAAGGGGGGCAGATGTAGGTTCAGACCGGTCACCATTTAGTGCAAGGAACCTTCAAAACCAAGTTGAAAGCCTTCAAAGAAGCTGCCGATAGGCCACAGTTCTAGTTCAACATCTAGAACAGAAACTGAAGGACGAAACTACAAAAGATGTCTTCACGTCAGCCATCAGGTCAAAATGGGAGATATTGAGCAACATCCCTGAGGAAGGCTGCGTAGAAGAACGCTGGAACTCTTTGAAAGCTATGTGGAAAGAAACCTGCATAACCGTGTTTGGACGGAACAAGATAGGACAAGAAATGGATCTTGATTGACACATGGAAGCTGATAGAGGAGGGAGAGAAAGACGGTGAAGCAGAAGATGATCCACTACAGTGCAGTGCTAGGATTAACAATGATAAAAGGAACTGAACGCAAATCATGAAACACTGGACAAAGAAGTGAAGAAGGGTGCGCGCAAAGACAAAAGACACCTTTACGACACATTAGCAATTGAAGCAGAACAGGCTGCTGGTAGAGAGACCTGACAACACTATATCAAGTAACCAGTTACTATCCGGGAAGAGGTCAACGCAGAGGAAACCAATGAAAGATACTGAAGGTAACCTAGTTAGCAAAAAGGAGAAACAAAGGAAACAAAACAATGGGCCGACCACTTCAAAAGATTCTTAAATCTACAACCACCTGTAACTCGTCCAGAAATAACACCAACAGTCCAGCCACAGAATTACCAGGGAACACAAGCCCTACGCCAAAAGTAGGAGTGGAGTCCTGGACGCCATAAAGTTGATGAAATCCGGGAAAGCAGCACCAGATGTAATTCCACCAGAAGAACTGAAAACAGACACAGCGATAACGGCGGATATGCTCACATCACTACTGCAGAAGGTTTGGAACGAATGAAGGATAGGTACCTGCTGATTGGAAAAAGGGCCACCTTGTCAAACTTCCAAAGAAGGGGAGACCTAATTCTTTGCTAGAACAATAACTGGCGCAGAATCATGCTGCTGTCCACCCCAAGCAAAATATGCCGCATCATCCTGGGGAGATCTTAAGGTGCTCTGGATTTAAAATTACGACTGGAGTAGGCTGGCTGGTTTCAGGAAAAATAAATCATGTGCGGATCAGACTTCAACGCTACGCTACGCATCACCATGCAACAGAGCGTAGAATGGCAGTCAACTCAACTCTACCGCAACTTCATCGATTTTGAAAAGGCCTTCTTCGATAGCGTCGACCGAGACGTAATTTGGCAGGCAGCTGCTCAAACACTACGGAGTACCACAAACCCTTATCAACCTCATTCCAGAGATATGTGAAGACGCCATGTGCCAAGTGATTCACAATGGAAAGCAGATCAGTGACGCCTTTGAAGTGAAGACAGGAGTAAGACAAGGCTGTCTACTATCACCGATGATCTTCCTGGTTGTGGTGGACTGGATCATGCAGCAAACAATGAGGAGCGAGAAGAGGGGCATATGCTGTGAGAGGAAGAAATGAAATCTTGTTGGCAGTGGTGGAGCCAGGTTGAAAAGACTGCAATGAACAGAGTGTAATGAGGACGTGTTATTGAAGTCCTATGTTCCACTAGGAACTCAAGCGACAAATAATGATAATAATAGTTCTTCAATATGTACATGTAACTGAAGATGTTGTCGAAGAAAATATTTTTTGTCCACTCAAATGGCTTTCGAGTTATAATGGGTTTAACATTTCGATCTGTTAACTTGTATATTTAACTCTGTTTGTGAACCCATCTTTCTAAGCAAGAAACTCTACTCTTGCCCAAATGGATCAATAATTAAAGTACTCTGATTTACAACTTAGTAAGATGAGAAATCTACAAAAACTTTGCCTTTAGCTAATCATGCAATTACGCTCAAAGACAATAGGATAGGACAGAGTGGCAGTCCTTAAAATTAACTCATAGTAGTGAACGGAGAGACTGATAACGCAATCTTTGATTGTCGCATGAACACCATATATGTGCAACAGGAATGACTGAGAAAATGCTTCGGATATATGGGAAATCCTATTACCCATATTACAAAGGAGGTGAAAGAATTAGAACTGTATAAACCATGCCCTAAAGTTGTGAAGTTATTTTGATCTGACTGTGGACAATAAATTGTGTCCAAAACGTAATCCACTAAATAATACTGTTCCTTCACTGTGTGATACATCTAATAAATCAACTGAAATAGGACATTAATTTCAGCTTCAATCTAAAGAATTATGTAATTAAATGTAAAAATGTAGAAAATCTACTTCCTAAAAATGAGAAGTTACCGAATATATTTCAAGGAAATTTCATAAACTTCATCATAGAGTTATAGTAATGATCGGCAATATCGAAGCTTCCGCACAGGAGTTGATATGCTAATAGAGACCTATCAATTCGATCCAATCAACGACGGTATCATACAAGCAATAATACTAAAACTATACCTGTTATGTAAGAAGTGGTTTGGTGGTCTAGTGGATAACGCTCTGGTGTTGGAAGTGAGGGGTCCCGAGTTTGAATCCCAGTAGGAATAACAACACTCTCTGAGAGGTAGGTAAATCCAGCCGATGATTCCCATATAAGACAAAATGCGCATCCTGGATTCCACTACTAGCCACTATCCATGACTACTATATACCATTAAAACACAGGCAATATCGAGGCATCTGCGCAGGAGCCCATATACCAATACAGAGCGATCAATTCGGTCCAATCAACGACGGTACAACACGAACAATAATACTTCATCATAGATTTTCTAGAAAGTCCACAGAAAACTTTAAGTCACTTTCAAATTGACAAATGGAGCAGTGTTTCTTTGAATGCTTCAATTTTGTGATAAAATTTTAACTATTGTGTAATTTTTCCCACTGTGTTGTAACGATACTTTAAGTGGGCGTAACATCATATTTTATTGCGCCTGGGTTGGACTGATCAGCCGGCTATACTAGTTTGTATTCGTATCAGTAAAAAAATATTAAAATCATGTGTGCTACAGAAGCTTAATAGCACTTACCTATCCAGAAAGGATTACGTATTTTAAATGTTTCAGCTAGCCATTTCAAATTAGCCTCATCTATGATACTTGTTAAAAAACCATCTTGTAATTCACAATAGTTTCTGGCTTCTTCCCAAGTCATTTCTTGATGTTCAAATAGCCGATAACAGCGATGTTGATAGAATTTCCATCCTACATTGTAATTATTTATTGTTGATGAAAAGAGAAGATAAAACATGTTTTTAAACATTTAAAAAAAAACAGTATGGTACTGTTTAAATTAAACCATTACTTGATACACTTTATCATTGGATACGTTGAACAGTTTAACAGTATAAAAGACCAGTAAACTACGCATCGATGAAAGGACAAGTAACTCATGATGTTTATTCAGATGATAATCAATCGAATGATCGAGTTCTTAGTGTCCATCTAATTTTCTCGATCAACTATGCAATTTGAAAAGAGAATATTTGTTATGCACTGTGTTTTAGTGTTGGTGATTCGAAGTTAACCGACAAGTAACACTGAACCTTAGCTTCATGTTTACCTGTACTCATTAGCAAAGTGCATCTGAAATCTTTAGGAGAGTTATACCTCTTCTAATCGCTTAGTGTTACCATCTGTGAAGGATGATCTTATGCGAACTAGATAGAGGCAAAGCCAATCACTAATTATCTGTACCTTTTATATACTCACGAGTTCGAAACCAAGTAAGAATATAATGGGTTAGCCAGATGAAATAGCATACATGATAGCTCGTACCAAAATACCGATGCGTTCCGACTAACTGGCAAGAGGATCGCTTACGTGCAACGTAACGTAACATGAAGACGTGCCAAATGGCATGCATGCTAGACTGTGTACCTTCAGTTTTGTGAGTCCGTTAAAACTATGAAGGTCAGCATGAATGTTGAATCGCATCGAATCCTATATTACTGATTTTGGAGAATTATTTGTGGCTACAAATGCAATTCTTGGTTGCAGGTATGATTTTTTTTAACGAGTGTCAATAGTCACAAAGTTAAAGCTGAGAGTTTTCTGCCGACTAGTTGAAGTCGTATGATTGAGTTTCAAATAACCATTGACTGCTCAGTTGTAAACTTTTTCCAACGACCACGCATGAAATGCGATGCTCATGCTGCTCATGGATGTCACAACTTGTTCAGTAATTCAATAACTAATTAGATTACCTCATCAAGAGAAGTGCTTTTCACTTTTTTTGCCTGATGAGTTTTATGAATGGAAAAAGAAATACACACTCTTGATAAACACGTTACAGTTTGGTTACAACAACTGTCACTAAGTTCATGGATAACGAGACGGTGAAAATATTTAAGGATATAATGAAGTTCTTTGACAATGGTGGATAGTGGCTAGCAGTGGAATCGAGGAGGTGCGTTCCATCCTATTTGTGACTCGTTAGCTGGATGTGCCTGCCTGCCAGTGGGCGGTGTCGTTCCCACTAAGATTAAATGGATAACGCTGTAGTGTTTGAGGCGATCCGTCCTGGGTTCAAGTTTCAGTGGGAACAACATCGCTCACTGAAAAGTAGGTACATCCATCTGATGAGCCCTAAATCGGAAGAAAGGCACATACTGGATTCTAAAGCTAGCCCGTATCTACCATTACTATAAAATTGAAATGAGAGGCGAGATCGAGGCATCAGCATAGGAGTCCATATGCAAATAGAGAACTATGGATTCGGTCCAATCAACGACGGGATTATACGGACAACAATATAAAGGCACTTATCTACTAAATTCTTGTTTTTTGCTTTCTAATTCGTTCGCAAATACTATGATTCCTCATATCAGCTGACTTGTTCAAAGTGTACAATTTATAAATTAAGCCTACAAAAATTGTGTTCGCTGAAATAATAAGGAAATGGACAGCAACTGATAGTTACCAGGCGACCAAGTTAATATGATTTGCTGATGACAATGATACCAGGGTCATCTACCGATGGTCGGTTATTGACTCTCATCATGTTTGTGTCTTTTAGCGCAAAATAATTGTACAGACTAACTCTATAGATTTAAAAATATTCCTTAACTCAGATGGTTCCACCATTCTATTGATGGTGCCTTGAGAAGGTACTGAATTTGAAATCTCATCTTTGTTTCCAGGATTTGGTGCGAATTGACTCAATACTTGTCAGCTTTCAAGTCCTTAGCTTCATTTATAATATGGCTTTCTTGAAAACTAAAAGGTCACAATAAAGATTAGGATATCGGGTACTAAACTGTCACGAATTTATAAAGTATGCTACTGAACAGCATTAGTACCTAGAACATAACAATCTTGATCTGCAGATTTCCCTATAGCGATCAAAATAATCTAAAAAGTAGACATCCGTTTCATTTCTATGGCAATGAACTTATCAGTTACTGACATGAATAAGTTCATCTCAGAGAGACGCTGCAATATTAACTTACTGTACAAATCATAGCCTTTGTTCTTTCAACCGAATTGTGTCTGAAAGAAACTTTATGTGTACAGGCTATTCCATCAATAAATACTAATTAACAATTTAGTGATATACATTTAAATTTGGTATTCACTACTCACTGAAATCAGTTGGAGAGCCACTGGAAATATGGGAGCACTGGATAGGCGCTTCGTCCTAATATGAGGCTCCTCAGCAGTACGCAAATACGACCTCACCAGGGATCAAACCGAAGACCTCTAGGTTTCACACAGAGCACGTTGTGATTGAGCCACGGGGTTGGAATCCAGTGACACACAGTTTCTTACTTCTATCAGTCTGTGAGGTAGCTTGACCTTCAAATTGGATTACTGTCTAGTTCTCATTGGCGACTTGCTTCAAGTTGATATTCCCCGGAATCCTAATTGTAACCGGTGAGTAAACCAATTCGGACTTGAGAACAGGTACTTAACGATGGCACTGGGTGAAGGTCACGCTATATCTTGAGCTGACAGAATTAGGAAAATGTTGACCATTGGACTCTGACCCAGCGGGTCAGTGGTTACATGCTCAGGGAAAAACCTGAAGATCTTGGGTTGGATAACTAGAGGGGGGAGTGTGTCATTGGTGTACATTGCTGACTAGTCCCATACTAGGAAGAACAACTATCCAATGCTCATAGACCCTCTATGGTTCTCCAAATGGTATCAGTTCATGATGAATACCAACTTGAAATCTACATTAGATTGTTTAATGAACATAACACTTAGCAATAAGGCATTATTTACTGAAAGATGTTTCGAGCAGAACTTCTCGCTAATAATCATATTGCATCATTTGTATCCTGTCGAGATTGGTGAATCTTTTAGATGACAAAAGTTACTGTTATTAATTATTTGGTTATTGATATCAATAATGTTGTTATATTGATTAGAATAAACAAATAGTAAGAATCATGTGGCCAGTAGAACTAATTTATCGAACAAACTGTATACTACTTAATCAGTGAATAGTAGCATAATTTTATCTTCTTAAATTAATTTACCTTTTAAACATTGAATCGAATGTCTGTTTGAATGTATATAATTTTCATAAGATGCACTTAATGCTTTAGAATCTGGCAGATCATTTGTAGCAAGCCATTCAGTTAAACTAATATGTTTTTCCACTGGATAATTGTCTGTTTTATCTTGTTGATTTGACTGCCAATTGATATCTTTTAGTATATTTTGTTGATCATTATTAATCTGTGCATCAGATAAATAGTCATAACTGCCTATGTTGTTAATATTATATTCATATAATTTGGAGTGGATGATATCAGTAAGATCTCGTTTGACTGGATTCTAAAATAAGACAGTGAATTAATCAAGTTATATTTAAGAAGATAAATGAACAATGAATTCATAATGGCTATTGTGATATTAGAAAGAAATTCAGCGAAGGGAACTCTTTTCAATGAATATATTCTCAAGCTATGTATTCATGATTATGGTGGATTGGATCGTGCAATAAACTGTGAAGAGTGAGAAGATGGACATATGTCAGCTGGACCGATGAAAAGAGCCTAGAAGATTTGGAATTCCCCGGTGATTTATGTCTAATGTCGCACAAACTCGGAGATCTACAGGCAAAAACCAAGAAGTTAACAAAAGAGGCAGGACAGCTAAAACGGGTCTTCAAGTGAATGTAGAGAAGACGGGAGTTATGAAGATACCCAACCAACAATAGCATCAACAACAAGCTCCAATCACCATGAACAAGAGAAACCTAAAGGAAGTAGTCTCATTCACCTACCCACCTACCTATACAGCATCGTTTCAACTGCAGGCGGCGGTGGCACAGACGACGATGTCAAAGCCATGATCGGGAAAGCAAGACAGATTTTTATTAATCTGAAGTCAGCATGGAGATCTACTACCACTCAGCATAAAGCGTGAACAACATCCGGATTTTCAACAGTACTTCAGTCAAGTAAGTCAGTGCTTGAATGTGATTGTTGAAAGACTTGGCGGCGCGTTTCGAAAAGTATTCCCAGCAAACTGCAGACACTCATCAACAGCTGCCACCTACACTCACTTGATGTTGAAGATCAGATGAGAAGACCAGAAAGAATAAGCAACAAGGAACTCTGGGAACGAACCAACCAAGAACCTATGGCCCAACAAATATGCAGATGAAGAAAGTGGAGATGGATTGGATTGGATATACACTGAGAAAACCATTCAGAAACATCACGCGTCAGGCCAGACCGTCGAGTGGAAGCTAAACGGGTGTCCGAGGCGAGGGTGACATAGAGGAGATGGTGTGAGGAAGAAATGAAAGCTTGTTGGCAGTGGTGGAGTCAGGTTGAAAAGAATGCAGAGAACAGAGTAAAATGGTGATGGCGACGTGCTACTGAAGCCCTATGTTCCACTAGGAACCCAAGGGACAAACAATAATATGAAAGTTGAACTTGGTTTACCGTTTCAGTGAATAACAGGCTGTTATATATCAAAGTGAAGATTACTGTTAAGCTAAACGTATCCGATTAGTGTTCTGAGAGAAAAGTGATATGAAATTTATCTTACACAACTCAAAACTTGATAATTAGTCGTATTAAGTAATATGTATTCTAATTGTCGAAAATGGCTCTCTTCGAATCTAATGCTAGTTTTCATATAAATATTTTAATAGAAACTTTATGCACTACATATCATCAGCATTTTTCTACTAAGCTTATTTTCAAAATCGTATTTCCATCTGATAAAGTTTGGTAAGTTAGAATCTTACAGATCTGTTTCGTTTATCATGGACAAAACCAACTAATTATTGCCTTATAGAATAAATAATTATCCATATTTTATCCTTCATACTTTGTAGTCTATGTACAGATAACAGATAGCTAAGTAAAACTGACAAAATGACCTACTATTCTTTACTTGTTATCAGCAATAAGCTACTTTATCTCGTGACTAAAAGCTTCCAATTATTGGAAGACAAGTTTGCGTCTGTTAACTATGAGCGTCTTCTTCGTTATTACCTTTCTGGAGAAGTCTTTTATTTTGCAGACACTGAAGATAGTTATTTCACGAACTATTATATAATCTAGAAGTAGTATTCATCATGGACTGACATCAGTTGAGTAACCATTGAAAATTTGGGAGTATTGGAAAGATGTTTCGTCGTAGTATGGAACTGACTCCTCAGCAGTACTCACCCACGACCAAACTTGGGATCGAATTTAGGACCTTTAGGTTTCATGGCGAACGCGTTAACCATTTAGCCATTGGGTCGGTTTCCAGTGGTTCACAGTTTTCAACTTCTATCAATTCACGACATAGTGTGACTATTACCAAAGGTCTTCAGTTAGCATCCACTTCACTTACAACTGGTTGATCCCTCAGGTCACGGCTTCTCATTGGAGCTTCGTGATATCCATCTGGGGGATCAACCAGTTGTAAGTGAAGTGGATGCTAACTGAAGACCTTTGGTAATAGTCACACTATGTCGTGAATTGATAGAAGTTGGAAATTGTGAACCACTGGAAACCGACTCAGTAGCTGAATGGTTAATGCGTTCGCCGTGAAACCTAAAGGTCTTGAGTTCGACCCCTAGCCAGGTCATGGGTGAGTACTGCTGAGGAGTCCCATACTAGGACGAAACAGCCGTCCAATGCACCCAGATTTCCAATGGTTCCCCAACTGATGTCAGTCCATGACGAATACTACTTCTAAATTAAAAATCCCCTTTCATCTCAAATAATATATAATTGTCTCAAAAAAGGTATACACTCATTTCGTACACAAGTTCCACGTTGATTTATGGCAATACAAACAGAAAGAATAGACAAAATTGTTATGTTTTAGATTTTTTTTTCCAATGAATAATCAACATTTTCAAATACAACCTGATTTATTTACTTACTATTTTGGATTTTGCAAAAGTATCATCTATTGAACATTGAATTTTCGGTAAAATATTTTAACTAACTGTTCTACTTTTAAATTTCATCTAGTAATAATATTTCCAGAATATATGGATTATAGAATTTTTTTAAAATCAAATATATACACTTACATTTGATGTTTTCGTTGTATATTCTCCGATTTTTATTGGTGTAAAATAGGATCTCGATTGACATTTCTCATGAACATCTATATGGTAATAATAAGATTAAGAAAACAATACGCATAGTTATTAAATGAATTATGTGTTGAATGACGACCTTACTGAACTGTGGATTTTCAAGCCCATGGCTATAATTTAAATACAGTATGACTTAGTTAAGAAGTATTCCCCTGATTCATGAGAAACTACCTTTCCAAAAGAAATACACAAGCCTAATTGGTTGTTTAAGTCGTTAACAAGGTTGCCTTTGTAGTCACTCTAGTTACACGGTGATATGTAAGTTCAAGTAAGTACCTGGTAGAAATTTACCTTAGTGTCAGCCAACCACTTTTAAGTATACACTGATCAACCAGCATCAAGTATATAACGGAAAACGTAATTACTAAGGAAAATGGTACTTGAATATTGTTGCTTGTACTATCCCGTTGTTGAGTAGACCAAATTGATCGGTTGCTATTGGTAAATGGGCTCCTACGTGGATGCTTTGATACTGTCTGTGTTTAAGTTATATATTGATGATGGGTAGCGGCTAGCTGTGAAGTCCAAGATGCGCATTTCGTCCTTTCTGGGACTCGTCGGTTGGATGTACCTACCTCCCAGTGAGCTATGCTGTTCCCACTAGGATTCGAATTTGGGGCTGATCGCTTCATAAGCCAGAGCGTTATTCACTAGACCATCGAGTCACGGTGACCACTTCTTGTGCGATGGGTCTAGATATAATGTTGTTCCTTGTATTCTGCCGACGTCGAAGAGGCTACGGTAACTAAGATGACCTCACGTTTTTTCAGCGTTGTTTGTTTTTCGGACTTAAGAGCTACCTTTTGTGAACAATAACTTGATGGGAGTAACCCATTTCAGACAATGGTACGCACAACTTCCAACCATCTGTGTATATTTTAGTACCCATTTTAACCCGTCCTCCCATAACTTGTAAGATAGATTCTTCTGATCTATCCTTTATCCACTAAAAATATCCTTTTCTCGTATTTTGGTAGTAGATACCAAGAATCTGTGATTTGTCAAAACATATGTATATAAATTACTCAGTCCTCTTTAAGTCATCTTTCTCGGTTCTATTCACGTTTGGTTCGTTAGGCACACAATCCATTACAACATCATATTCACACTTTAAACTTTTCGCAAGCAATTCAATTCTCTACAAATAAATAACAACGTAATCTTCGTTGTGATTTATAAGCAGCTTGTGCATTGGCAAAGACATGGTAATTGGTCAGACTAGCATCGCCAAGGCGCCAAAGATGTCCAAGACTGACGTATACCACTCTGACTTTCGATATACGGTTAAAAACCTCATCACGCACTTCGATCAGCACTCATACAACTACTCAGACACACAAACTTTTCGACTACTTCCTACGGCTTACCACCGAGAGTGAGCCTAGGCATAGGCTCCTTCCAATCTCGTAAAAATGCTTTGCAGTTCGATGGTGCAAATCGAACAAGCGAGTTAATACGTATTCTGTGCACATGAATACGTATCTAATTACTACTTTATGTATGACAAATTGCTGAGATAAGAGAATATTACACTAATCAATAAACAGGTTTTTGATAATTTTTTGAATATTAATATCAGGGATAGTGTCTCATAGTACAATTTGCACTGTTGAGTAGAAACTGTCGTATCATATGAATCATTACACATGTTTATATTCCTTTTAGATGCAATTGCCACGAGAAAGATGAATGGAATGGCTTCTAGCTTCGTTTAGTGTTGCACAGTAGTAATCTGAATAACTAGAAGCAATAAGTTTATTCAATTGTCAACATCGTGTATACATTATAAATCATGAAATACGGCGAGTAATAGTTCCAGTTAACCTGAAATAATGGGTGTAAGAAAAAGTAAATCATTGTTTATGAATTCTTCACAAATAGACTAAACTTACCACTTACAACTACTTCAGCTCTACGTTTTCTATCCAAAATAGCTCCTGTTGGTAGTTTAAGGTCAACATAAAATCTTAACCGTTGTTGGTTAAGACTTCTTGTAGTTGGATTAAAGCGTATCAATACATCTTGTTTCAGTTCACCTAGGTAGAATGAATAGTAGTTTCAGTGAAATTTGCATAAAATGTACATATGTATACTACTTTTAATGAATATTAGTAGCTTAGAAATGCTTTCGTGAACTTTTCAATGTATTACGGAGAGACAGTATTTTTAAATCTTTAAATGAAGTCGTCTGCATACTCAAAAAACGTTTCTCTAATAGAACTGTAATGACATTACGTGAATCTGTTAGTATTGAAGAATATCCAAATCACCAGTCACTTAAAAAGTAAATATCTTTGAATTCTATTTCTGTGTAATTTTAATTAGTTTTAGTAGGGAAAGGAATTTAGAACTTTTGAAAGTATGGAAGTATGTCTAAGCTAAACAAAAGAGATAAACGAATGGAAGATATGCAGTTTCAGAATGAAGCCAATAAGCTTTCATGTATCATCGCACTGATCATAAAATCGAGCCTAGTTCACAGTGAACAAAACAAGTAGTAATGTTTGTGACAGACAATTATTCGTCTTACTGTTATTTGAATTTGTGGTTTGTAAGGAGTTATTTATTTAAAAATACTGTTTATTACAAATTGAAATCAGTAGAGGGAAGGATTTAAAACCTCATAGCACTAGATAACCTCTTCATTTAAGTGTGTAAGCATCATCATTAGCGTGCATCCCTGACATCTTGAGAAATTCAGCCCAAAACCTTCAGGTCTCATAGAGAATGCGTTACTACTAAGCCACTGGCTTGAAAGCCAATGGTCCATTATTTTCTGCGTAAGTCAATCTACACAGAGTGCAACTATCATCCAGTGTCTTCAGTAGACATTAATGAGGTTCTTGGATATGATTAGTTGTAGAAGCATAATCTAGGTACTGGATGGACTATATAGTGTTTGACATCTGGCTCAGCTGACAAAAGAGTATAACAGTGTTGAACGAAAGCGAGTTTAATCTAATCGAAGAGTGAAGGTACAACCCAAGGCCAAAACTGCTTTGTTTATATACAGTGCATACAATCTTAAGGTGAACTGACAAAAATAGTATATTCAAACTGAGAGATTATTATTTGTCCGCTGTGTTCCTAATGGACATAAAGCTTCAGCAGCACGTCTCCAGTGAACTCTCTTCTCTGAAATCTTTTTAACCTGGCTCCAAGACAGCCCACAAGCTCTCATTTCTTCCTCACACCATCTCCTCCATGTCACACTTACCTACCACGCCCAACTCGTCGTTTCCCATCTGGTTCCACTCAAGTACCTGGCCTGATGCGTGATGTTTCCGAATGGTTTTCTCAGTGCATATCCAATCCAATCCATCTCAACTTCCTTCTGCATATTTGTTCAGCGATAAGTTCTTGGTTGGTTTGTTGCCAGAATGAGTTCCCTGTTGCTTATTCATATTATTCTGGCCATCTGATCTTCAGTAACGAGCCAGTGTAGGCAATTGTTGATGAATATCTGTAGTTTATTAGAAATCCTTTCGTAACGCACCACCAAGTCTCTCAGCCATACAGGAGCACACTGACTTGACTGATGTTGGTGTTGAAAATCCGGATGTTGTTCACGCTTCATGCTGAGTGCAGTGAAGCAGATCTCCACACTGGTTTCAGGTTAATGAATGCCTGTCTCGCTTTTCCGAACCTGACTGGCTTTGACATCCTCGTCTGTGCCTGTGCCGCCTGTAGTTGAAACAGTTCTGCCTAGATAGGTGAAGGAGGTTACTTCCTTTAAGTTTCTCCCATTGGTGGTGATTGGAGCTTGTTGTTGTTGGAGTTGTTGGTGTGGTAGTTTCATCACCTCTGTCTTCCCCATATTCACTTGAAGTCCCATCTTCACTGCCTTGCCTCTTCTGTCGACTTGTTAATTTTCGCCTGCAGATCTTGAAGTTTGTGTGACATCAGACACAAGTCGTTATCGGCGAAATCCAGATCTTCTAGATTCTTTTCCACAGTCCAGCCAGCGTATCCCTCTCTTCTCACAGCTCCCACTGTTTGCTGCATGATCCAGTTGGCGACTATCAGGAATATCATGGGTGATAGTAGGCAAGCTTGTTTCACTCCTGTCTTCACTTCAAAAGCACCACTGAGCTGAGCTTCCATTGTGAATTACTTGGCATGTGGCGTCTTCATATATAGTTGTTGAATGAGATTGTTAGAGGTTTATGGTATTCCGTAGTGTTGAAGCAGCTGCCTGTCAAATTACTTCTGCGTGCTATCGACTCTGTCAAAGGCCTTCTGGAAGTCGATGAAGTTGAGGTGGGTTGGGGGTTGACTGCCATTCTATACTCTGTTCTATGATGATGCGTAGTGTGGCGTTGCAATTTGGTCCACACATGACTTGTACTTCCTGAATCCAGCCTGCGTGTTTCGGTGGTATTTTTGAATCCAGTGCATCCTTTAGTCTCTCCATGATGATACGGCCTAGTATTTTGATTGAGGTGGACAGCAGCATGACTCGTTGACAGTTCTTGCAAACACTTGAGTCGTCTTTCTTCAGGAGTTTGAGAAGGTATCCCTTCTTCCAATCGGTAGGTACCTTCTCTTCCTTCCACACCTTCTGCAATAGTGGTGTGAGCATGTCCACTGTTGTCTCTGCGTCTGCTCTCAGTACTTCTGGCGGGATCCCATCTGGTCCTGCTGCTTTTCCCTATTTCAGTTGTTTTATGGCTTTCAGGACTTGCACTATTGTTGGAGGATTTATGTTCACATGTAGTTCGGCGGCTGTAGGTGGTATTTCTGGACGAAGTACAGGTGGTGATCGATTCAAGAGCTTTTTGAAGTGGTCGGCCAGCCCATCGTTCCCTTTGTTTCTCTTCTTTCGTAATTAAATTTCCGTCATCATCTTTTATTGGTTTCGTCTGCGTTGATCTCTTACCAGATATTAACTTGGTTATTTTATACAACGTTGTCAGTTCTCTTCTACCAGTATCCTGCAGCCTATTCTGCTTCATTTGCCAGTGTTTCGTAGAAGTGCCTTTTGTCTTTTCGTACACTCTTTTTCACTTCTTTTTCTAGTGTTTTATACATTGTACTCAGTTCCTCTTGTCGTTGAGCATCCTTGCACTGGTTTATGTTCTGTTTCACCATTCTCCTCTGCTCTGTCAGCTTCCATGTATCCATTGAGATCCATTCCTTATCTTCTTTCTTCTTCCTTCCTAATACGGCTGTGCAGGTTTCTTTCCACATCTCTTTCAAAGACTTCCAGTTTTCTTCCACACAGGTTTCTTCAGGGGTGTTCCTCGATATCTCCCATTTGGTCTTGATGGCTGCCTTGATGATTTCCTTTGTAGTTTCATCCTTCAGTTTTCGAGTGTTGTACTTGAACTGCGGTCTATCACCAGCTTCCTTGAAGGCTTTTAACTTGAGTTGGAAGGTAGGTTCCTTGCACCAGATAGTGGTGTGAGCCTACATCTGCTCCTCTTCTTGACCTTGTATCTGCGTCTCCACTTTCTTGAGATTGAGATAAAGTCAATTTGATTTTTAGTGTGTCCTGGTGTCTGGTGAAATCCATGTTCTCGCTTTGTGGATATCCTTGTGCTTGAACACAGTGCCTGACTCCAATCACCAAATCGTTGAATGCGCAGAATTCTGCAAACAATTCTCCATTCTCGTTCATTTCACCTAGCGCTTCTCGACCCGTGGTTAGTTCTCTTCGTGTATTGTCTGCTCCCAGTTTGGCATTCATGTCGTCCATTAGAATGGATTTTGATGTTGCCAACTGAGGTCTTGTCCAGTGTTGATTGGAGTTGTCTGTAGAATTCCTCCTTCTTCTCTTCATCTGCATTATTTGTAGGTGCATAACATTGTATGATTGTGACCTTCCTTCCTTTTGAGTTGAATCTTGCTGTCATGATCCTGGAGGAGATTGGCTCCCACTGCATGAGAGCCTTCGATGTTATTGGGGACATCATGATAGCCACTCCATAACTCAGTGTGCTGTGTTCGTGGTTGTCGTCTGGGTGACCGGAGTAGATTATTAATTCTTCAGTTGACAGTTTGGAGAGTCCACTTCCATTTGGTCTGCTTTGGCAGATTCCTAGCACTTCAGGGCGATATCTTCTCATCTCGTTTGCAATCTAGGCTGCCTTGCTGGGTTCAAACATGGTGCGGACATTCATGTCCCCACGTTTACTTTCGCTTTCATCGAGAGAAGACACATCGGCCAATTGGCTTCCCGAAGGCTTTCACCAACTGGCGTCATTTCGCCTCTCAGATTCCAGTGAGGAATAATTTTGTCATTACTTTCTATATTTCATTTGTGCTTTGAAGTTTCATTAGCGGTTAAATTTGTTTTACGGGGTGGGGTTTCTAGCCCTATGCTCAACCTTCCTTCTTTACCTGGGCTTATGACCGGCTGGTAACTAGTGAACTAGTTAACCAATACGAAAACAATGTTCTTAAGGGCGATAAAATGGAGCATTGTACAAGAGTTGGAAAAAGGCGCGAAAAAGTTAATTCAAACTTTCTACGATAGGTTTGTAAAATTTAAACATAAAATGTTCATTTTAGGGTACATAACGTCCCTTAACAGACACCTGCTTCGTCTCTGATTTGATTGATGTGAAAGGTCGCCACTTCTTACCAGCGATTCGGGAAACTTATTTGAAACCAAGTCGCTAATGAACATGGGAAAGTTTAGATATTTGCTAACGATGGCTGAACATTACACTGGTATCGAAATTTTAATATACTTACCGAAATAAATGAAGAAGGAGCTATAGTCTCTGACGTAGTCAAGGTCTATCCCTGATGAACGGTCTCGAAAAGTAAAATATCTTTGCTAATAACCTTTCGTTCTGAAGGATTCCTCACCGAAGCTCCACTTTGTTATATAAGTATATAAGTTACAAACTGTAACATCGAAACTGCATAAATTGTCTTTATACATATACGTTCACAAGATATAAAGCTAAAAGTAGCTTGATTTAAGAAGAATCAGATTTGTTACGAAAGAAGCTTATTTGAAAACTCCTCATTAGCTTCCAGCCGTTGAACTTATATACTAGAAAGGGATTAACATTTCATGGCTATTTTGTTACATTCTAAGAGACTAAAATTAACCATATCTTGATCGTGCACAGCATCCTTGGGAATCATACGCTAGTATTTATCCTCACCTTAAAATTAGGCTACCAAAGAGGCCATAATCGCTTCCTCCACTTAGTAGTTTTTGTTGAAAAATCCATTTTCATACCCCTTTCAAAATCATAAACAATCAAAATGAATAATAATTACATAAAGCATGAAAATAATTAGAAGAAAATGATACTTATCATTTATCACATACCTTTTTGAAAAACTAACAACTTTTGTGAATGTAAACTGAAATCTGTCCCCTCAATAGCTGTATTAGATGATAATCCAACGTAGACATCACTCAAAGTTGACTGAATTGTATCACTTTTACCTTTGCGTATAACACTCAGTGTAATTAGGCCTCTTTCATGGCAGATTGAATACACTTTACGCTCGAAACCAACTTTAATCCAGGTTAATTCCATACTAAAAATGAAGATAATTAGATATATGATTGAAATATTTCCTAATAGTATTGGGAAAAAAAAATTATAATAGATATATCAAACTTAGCAGAGCTGAGATTGAAAACTAAAGTTACATTCCTCATTCTGTTTACCGACAGCCATAACCTTGACTTTGTGGTTCGGCTTGTCTTGCACAGTTACCTGACGAATTATACTAGTTGGAATGATTGCTTCTTAAGGTCACGCCAAACTGGATAGGTCTGTTGGATAGTGATAAGACCTGAGGTTACTACAGTTTTAGTGTCATTAACTTACGCTGTGTTAGGCGATCCGAGGGTAAAAGATGCTGGTTATAAGGGGACGGAAGACATTAGGAATTTCTTCGCAGTTGACTAGAATTCAAAGGAAGCTTTAGAAAAGATCAGCCTCAAAAACATTCCAATCCCCTTTTTTCACAGACTTAGAGTGTTGTTGGTGTGTGTTTTTTTCGAAGTACGGACAAAAGATAATAAAATCTAAACTTTAGTAAAGTTAGTATATGAATCACCTTGGGTTGATTTCTTTTGGACTGTGTAGTGACGCAAAGCCAATCCATTTTCTTTCTGACATACTTCAAGACGACACAAACTTCCATGACAAAAACAACTTAGAAGTATGAATCTCCCAAGTACCCTCAAATGACACACAAAACTCACCTTTAACATACTTTCCTTATCTTTATTCACCCTTTTGAATTCGCCATTTATACCTGTTTCCAACATTATGCCTCCTACAGCTTCATAGGTGTTTTACCTTGTAAGCAATGCTAACCAACAAGGTCAGCAAAATGCTGTTTCTAGTCGCTTTCAGCTTCCAAGCCCTGTAGTAAATTGGACGACAGATTTGAGTTTTCAAGACCTCTAAATCTCACGCCATGGATTCGTGCTGTTTATGAGACATTCATACGAAACATCAGTGAGGTTATTCACTTGACTTCATCTGGATAATGTAGTGAGTTTTCGAAATTTACCTTTCGAGTGATGGAAATTTTGATGGCTAATGAGCGTAGACTCTTTAGTGTAAGAATATCAACGGGTTCTTGCTAAAAGAACGCATACATATACTGGCTATCAGTTGATAGTAAATGGTTTCTAGCTAAGAAGAACAATAAGGAGTAGGAAAAACCAACAACTAGTTCTTGCAGCTTTCGGATACGCGCTCACCGACTGTAGTTCAGACGATACTAATGTTAGGTGCAGAGTTTTCGGCAAAAGAAAGCAATTTAATACTTTAAATGGTTAACGCGCACCAGTTAGTTTAGAAGTATATTGTGCTTGGGGAAGTACAGGAGACCCTTATAACCCATATCAACTAAAGAAGGATGAAAATTAAGTGTGATTAGGTCAGGAAATGGCACCGGTCCATAAAGTCTTTGACTATGCATCGGAGTCTTTTCGGTTGCTTTGTTATTTTCCTTAAGATAATTAGGATCAAAGATTGAAAACTGTCAGTGATATGGCGCATTACTAGACACAATACTGTGGTTTAATACACTCCTTATCACTTTAAAAGCGTTAAGCATTTTCAATAACTTGTATCGAATAATTCCTTCTCCGCTGACTCACTTATTTCATCCATCAGTATCAGTTTCCTTCTATACGCTTCCTTTTCATGTGCTACCGTAAAGTGTGAGTGTATGTGCCAATAGAGACCGATTGGTTTGGTCCAATCAATAATGGTGTACTGCAAGCGATAGCACTAAAACTCTACACGTCGCACAAAAAGTGGCTGTCATTGATCGGTGGTCTAGTGGGTAATATTCTGGCGTTTGAGGCGGTCAGTCCCGAGTTCTAATTCCGGTGGGGATAACATCGCTCACTGGGAGGCAAGTGCATCCAGCTGACAAGTCCCAAATGGGATAAAATGCACATTCTGGATTCCACTACTAGATACTATCATTACTATATAATCTAGCTTTGTTGAAAAACAGTAGTCCAATTATCGTAGATAAAGAGATTTGGTTAGTTAAAAGCAAATGACGGATTTCTACAGATAACATTGTCCAACTGTAGAGTACTGGTGTTCAGTGTTGTTAGTTAAGAAACCAGAATGTAATTACATCATAGTTTCTTCGAAGTTGTTTCAAAGAAACATCTTTCATTGATAGTTTCAAGTTCTAGTATCGTTCTATTAAAGTTTCTCATTCAAAAAATTATTATAAGTGATGAAGTGAGTCTAACAAACTTACCTATATCTCTTGATATCATTCAAATTCTTAGAATATTGAATTTCATAGTGAATTTGACAGACAGTATCAGCTGATGAAGATAATAACTTTTTCCGAGAACTTTTAGACTTCTTTTGATCTTTCAATAAAATTACTACTAGTCTACGTCTGTTTAAATCATCCTGATAAAAGTAATTTTTTACAGATTTATTTTCATCTTTATTGAATAGTTCACAATTCATCTTATCATGATTTATTATATGAAATTTAGCCCATGGATTTGATACATAAATATTTTCACTGTTTAAATGAAATCCTACACGTCGTGGTAGTACAGTTTCTAAGGTATCCGGTTTAGGAGCTTGATTAATCAATAATTCATTATCGTATACATTCTGGAATATTCTATGACGAATTTTCAACTCCAATGACTTATTTGATGTAATAATTACTTCATTTTCTTTAGTAGTATACATCATTCTCTCAAGAAATGGATTAACATTTTTAGGTTCATCTAATTTATTACTTGAAAGGTATGCGTGTAGAATATCATTACACAATTGTGTAAGATTAATAATTTGCCCAATATCACCGAGGTCAAATATGTGTAGATTGACAGAGTATTTCAAATCCTCTCTTGAATATGAACTAAATAAAATTTGTCTTGAATTGATTTGTGATTGAGTAAAACATTTCAAACTTTCATTGTACACATTGATCAACTGTCCTTGTTGTTTTATTTCTTCAGTGTGGTTTAATATCACATAAATTAAGTTGTTAGGATTAGTATCTTTATCTTTAAAAGACAAATGATTCATGTTAACTGGTGTATCTGTATAAGGCAAAATCAACAGTTCAGAACAATTTTCTAGTTTAGGAAGATTACGGTTGTTTTTCTGAATTGATACAATTATAGATATTTGACCTAAATAATCTTCTGAAGAAGAGGTCAATTTGAAATCGATTTGAAAATGTTTATCCAGAAAACTTTCACAACTGTTAGCATAAAATACAACTTTATGCTTTCTAACCTCATCATCAGTAAACTCGTTAATACTATTTAATGGATCTGAAGTGCGTGCTAATAATCCACATGTTAAATTTGAACTAAGTATTATTTTAATTTGGTTGGTTTTAATTCTCTCCAATTGGAAGTCCTTGGGTTGAAGAAATGTGAAACTTTTGATTGTAGCCATTAAAATAACAGTACTGAGTAGATCTACTTCTGTTTCTGAAGCATCATTTTGATGCATTTGGTTTCCTTCATCTAGAAAGAGTAAAAAAGAAAGTTTTAGTGAATAACTTGACCTACTCATAAGTAGTTGGTTCGTATATAAAAAATATTTCAATGAGAGGGTTTGGTTCGTCGATCTTCGTTAGGTAGAAAAATCGATGAGCAAGCTGGATATATTACTGCGACCTTGATGTTTAACTGAGTAGCTTATTATTGAAGAGGTTCTATTTTTGGAGGAGGCATATCTGAAGTATTTCACAATCATCTCTATTAAAACCCTCTGATGCAATTCGGTGAATTGCAATGAACTAGTACTCTTTATTAACTCATATTGATGAAGGAATTCAGCTAGTTTCTAAGTAATGCATTGAATAACGGTAAGCAAAACTTTGCTGATAACTGAGATTGCACAAAATTAGTTTGTCCAAGTACTTCATACATCTTGCTTTCATGAAAATATCTCAGCGTCAAAGGAGAGAAAAATCGTATCAAACAACGTGTTCTCTTGATTATTCTTACCAAGGTTTTGACTTACATCAGTTTAAGACAGTTTAAATTAATGAAAATAATAAGACCAGTGAATCAGTTAATGACCCTTGAAGTTCTATTCGAAATCCAAGTCTGAGGAGGAACACTGTCACTCGCTCAGTTGCTTATGAATCTATTTGACGAGTCCAAAATAAGACGAAACGCACATCCTAGGTTCTACTGCGAGCCAACACCAAATGAATAGCATCAGAATCCGAGAAACCTAGGTAACCAGTGCATCTGAAGACCACTGAATGTTAAAATACAAATTATGGTCATAATTACTGTTTTTTATACATCATCAGACATAAAATCTTAGAATTATGAAAAAGGGAGAAATAAGGGTTAGGTTCTAAGTAAGCAGGATGTTTCTTACTGGTTATGGTATACGATTTTTAGCCAGTTGGCTATGGGTTGGAACACTAGAGCACCTACTGAGGATTGGCTAGCTGTGTAGTATCATCAATAACCGTCACACAATACGGTGTAGTTTATTGCCTATTGCACTGGTGTTCATAAAGCTTATAAATGCATTTCAATTTTCTTTTTCTGTTAAACAACTAGTTACTTAAGCTAACACGATACTGAGGATGAAGTTAACCTATTCATTTAAGTCCAGTGGATAGGAAAAATCGGACTATGCAATAGGTAACAAAAGAATAGTTAACATACTAGTGAGACGTTTAAAAACGTAATGTATAGCACATATAGTATTATTTACTAGGTTGTGCTTCGAGTACTGTTGATTGCTCATATATATATATATATATATATATATATATATATATATATATATATATATATCATGATACTTGCGCAACTTCTATCTTAGGTTTTATACTTCTTTGTTCTTTTTTTGATTGGTAGAAAGATTTTCCATAGATCTCAAAACTGTATCGAGTCAATCTCATTATACTACTTGAGTATTGAATCGATAAGCAAGTTTCCAGTGGTCAAACTCTTTCTCTTCGATTAATCACATCAACCCTTAGGACTAATACTCTGTCCCACCCTATTATTTGGTTGTATTTTATCGCATAAGTATGTGTGGCTGAATTCTTTTCTAGTTTATCTGTCTCAGTAAGGTGTATTAATCTAAAGTTAGTCAGGTCTCTATGTTTTTTTAAACCTGATTGATCCCGACTGGCTAGTTTATCATACATACTTGACATGAAAGTCGCTCCAATGTGTTTGGTAAATAGGATTATTTGTCGATAAAGTCCTCAATTCAATAAAGTTTATCTCTTAGTTTTCAATTCTACTTTAATCGCAGCCTTAATCAGAATCCTGGTAAATTCCTTCAGCGATAAATAAGGACATAAAACACGGGAGGTAGCGGTATGAAAGATGATTGCAATACGACTGAGAAGAGATTTAAGGACTCTGTGGTGTTACTGTTAAGTTAGGAACATGAAATACTCTGAGTAGGATTTTCAATTAGGCTGGAATTAAGGTGGTATCCGTCTCTACTACAAAAACCACTTCAAATTCCAAGATTTCTTGAAATTCTGTCACTTTCGCTTGATCACCAGCTGTCTTGCTGACTGATTCCAGATGTTTTGTGCATTTGACAGGAATCTAGCTAGAATGAGTATTACGTAGTCTTAGTATATGTGAATCCTTACGTATATATACGCCTCCATATGGTTATTTGGATGTTTATGATTCGATGCATTGGGCAGTTGGTAAGTTTCATGCAACATACTCCTTTTCATATATTTCCAACATTATGAGCAAGTCTGATGTATAGTGTTCTGCATTTTAATAACTTTATGGATAAAACAGACAGTAAAAACCTGGACGCGAGTTTCAAGTTTCTAAGTACACAAGTGTATATCTTCAACATACCTTAATGCAAAGTGTTAAATATACTGGTAAATATTTACAAGTGATAATGTGGAAGTTTTGCTACTTTTTTACTGCCGCTATTTAAGAAATATTATCAGTCAAATGACATAGTTGACCAAATTAAGGACTACTTTATGCGAGAATTTCCATGTGTGATACATCATCTGAAGTGAACTAGTGTAAAAGTCGAAATGACTGCGGAGGTTATAAGGGTAGGAATGTGTAGTGGGGGGTCAAGTTGTAATTACAAAGTGATTACAGCTCGAAAGCAAATATTACAACCAATCATCACAACAGATATGATGAACAAACTGACACCACCATCAATGTAAAATCTAAGACTAAAGGCGAGAAAAGGAGGCAGAAGTTGAATGATAAACTGCTCACGCTATCACAACCAACAAAGAGGGGATTAAAAGATGAATGGGTAGTGAATCTTTCAGAACGCCCAAGATCTACAATAGAATATGACTTACTTCAGAAAGAATGAACCAAAAAAACTGGAAATGCAAATAAACTTGATTTCTGGGCTTCGATGGAGTTTAAATTGAAAACTTAAAGAGTAAATGAGTATGACGATGTCTTTTGTCATATAAGATTTATAGCTATAAAGTTGAAAACTTGCTAATCACATTTATCGATTATATCTTCTCCAGGAACTTGGCATGTATTAAGTCTTAAATAAACAGAGCAAAAACTATTCTATTCAACAGAGAGATGAGAATCAGATCACGTTGTTGTGTTGTATTTTTGACATGAAGTAGATTATCTGACTTTAAACTCTTATTTTGTGATTGTCTGATTAAGTTAGGATCATTGAAGAAAAAGTGAAATTCGCTATTCTTTACTGCCTTTCATCGTTCATATAAAATTCACTTTTCAGTAGTCAAACTGATAGGAAGCAGCTTAAACCGAAATCAGCATTCTACGTCATCAACTGCTAAGATAAAAGCTTTGGATTTCAACGTTGTTTCATTCTACTGTGTGAGCAGGGAAAACCTTATTGATCAAATTTTTCCTTCAGCTGACCAGTGAAAAGAAGTATCCAACTTCTGACCTAGTGGCTTCGTTTTCTGAGGGAAAACTGTTTTATAAATAATGTTTTTTCGTTTCTGAGGCGTTCTATATTAGGAAGAAACAGCTGTCTAGTGCTACCAGATTTTCAATGATTTTCCAGTTGACGTCAGTCCGCGATAAATACCAATATGAAATCAACAAATCCCCACAAATACTGATCTTGGTGACTAAGAGAGGCATCCAAGACGTGCGTTTCATTCTATGTGGGACTTGTCAGCCCATCGGCCAACAGAGGTTGAGCGAATCTGTAAATTACAAGTATCATAATAACAAATCCTTACAAACCTTCAAATTATACAGCATTTTTTATTATTCACTCCTTAGTTTGACGAAAATATCTCCACTCTTCAAATAAGGAAAGCTCTGTGCAAGCCGTATGCACTCCACAAGAGTGAACATGACAACAGAAGCACCAGCAACAAGATAACTGTTACAGCTGTTGCTGCCACTACCACTGCTACAGATGCATAGACAATGAATAAACTAGTAAGTATTGATTCAACATAATGATCATGGAACACAAATCCAAGCCTGAATTAACAAATGATAAAGGATTGAATGAACGAACTACTCTTTATTAGGTACTTTACTAAAGATGTTCGTGGTAGGAATTCCGTTTCTTCGTAAAACAGCACGAACTGTCATTGAAAGATTTATATGAGAGAACACTGGCTCAAACAGCAAACGTTTACCACTACATCTGCAACTCAAGCCTCAACTACTTACCTTTCTACGTTTAAAACAGTTACTCGACAGCCGATCAAAAGTTTATTGGTTCCATACTAAGATATGATTCTTTCGGTAAACTTTAGTAATGGAAATTTGAACTGTAGCCCGATTCGAACTTGCGATCACCGGGTTTCCGGTGATCTATCAACTGACCCATAGTTCGAATTTTTATTTCACCGTCAGTCATTGCCCAGTACGAATATTAGTCTATCAAACCACGGCTATCTCAGATAGACGAAATGATAAACTTTAGTAAGTCATACTTTAAGTCACATGTAAATAGATATATTGTACAGCATACAATTAGTTCACTTACATTTTTCAATAGTTTCACTTTTCACCTCTGTATACTCTAATGGGCGTAAATGTTGTAAATGGTTAACAGGAAGGTAGGGAAGTGATGATTGAACTAAACCTGCATTGACTCCATTCACTCGACGAATACGGAAACGTAAAGTAACGGGATCAGTTGAATATTGTCCATCTGATAAGCGGACTACACAAGAATCTGTTACATATTCTTCTTGATAAGGACTTGTGTAAACGTAACTGTTAAAGCAAAAAGTACAATAAAACTGATTATTTAATTTTCTAAAGTAGTTTTTATTATAGATTGAATTAAGCTTGAGAGTCATTAAAACAACCAAGAGTGGTATATAGCTAATTTTTTTCTAGCATGGTAGACCGTAGTAGTGAAAATCTATAAATCAATGAGTTAAAATCGTCAATCAAATCACAACACTTGATCTCAACTTTATAGACTTTAGGATCAAAATTTGACCTGATAGAGTTAAGGTGACCATTGGGTAAATGGATTCATATTCACGATGCTTTCAATTATAGTACTCCTTATTGCTCCAGTGTTATCTCTTTGTAACTACACAGTATAGTGCTCTTATGAAGTTCTCAATGGAGTAGAAAAAGAAATTTCTGATGTTTAACTACATCATGGAAATCACTTCTTAAGAGAATAGCAAGTAGAGACAAATCAGACCAGGTTGCTGATATATGATAATAATAATAATATGACAATAAGTATCTTCCGTTACCAGTTATTATTCCATGAGTTCAAGGCGAAGATGTAAATGTGAATAGGAGTGAAGGTGGGAAGAAAAAATACTATGGCTGTTCGCTTGTTTATTAGTACGAAGGTATATACTTCAGTCATGGATTGTTATAACAGTTTTCCCATTCTGCTAAGGTACAACTAAAAAGCCACAAAGGATTTTAAGAAGACACTAGACTAGTGCCTTTTACAAGACAACCAACATCATCAGGAATGCTTTAGTTCGCTTAAATGATAGAATTTCTTTCACCTACACACAGAACTGTGCCAAAAAATTAGGCTGTATCGATTATGATGCTTATTATTATAATGGGAAATTATCGTGCGAAATTCTCATTTGTACGAAGGACCATGGAAGCTACTCAAGACGACCACCAAAAAGAATTTATAAACCAAATCAACAATTGTTGTTCATGCCATTCATCATAGTCAAATGATTGATATTGAAAATATCGAAATGATTCAAAAAAGATCTTCAAACTACAAGGAAAAACGTATAATTTAAGCATTTCATATTACCTTGATTCCTAATGTACTCAACAAAAAGGAAGGCTTAACTATCCAACCAACTTGAAAAGTATATTCAAAATAAACTAATCATGACTAAAGTACATACACATATACAAACAAACTCAATTTGTCCTCAATGGTAACGTGGTGGATACAGAATCTGATAGTCATAGATTCCATCCCTGGTGCGATCGTGGATGCTCACTTCTAAAAATTAATATACTAGAACGAAATACCTATCCACTGCACCCAGGTTTCCAATGTTTCTCCAAGTTAAGTCAGTTCATAAAGAACCCCTTCTTTCTCACACCTTTACTTCTATTCACATGTGTACACACATTCACGTGATCATCTCGAACTCATGGAATAATAACTGATAACATGTGACACTTATTCCCATATTATTGTCATGTATAAGCAAATTAATCTGATTTGCCTTATTTACTGTTTAAACATGTGATAACTAGTACAGATTTTATTCTCTGAAGAAGTGATTTCCATGAGGTTGCTAAACATCAGAAATTTCTTTTTCTACCCCATTAAGAACTTCACAAATATATTTCCTTTATAATCTTGTCTGAATATTTAGATTTCCAAGACATAACGATGATGTACACTTGACGTGTAACTGAATCTGAATGTTTCATTCTCACTCATCATCAATATCAACATAGGACCAGGCATTACTGCTTAAATGTCCGAGTTGCCACACCTCATATCACCACATCAAGTAGAAAGGTAGTCAGGTGAAGGATGAAGATAAGAGAACACAGTCAAAAGAAATATTAAGTACGAGAAGAAAGAAAGGAAGATTCGGTATAGCGTCGTTAACATGAGGATGATGTGTGCATACATCTGGGTCACTGACATTGGTTCTCAGCCATATCCCCTAGAGTCAGTCTCCAACCACTGGTTCTTCTTGTCCCATGGACCCCAACCACCTACACTGCATCACCCCACATGGCTCAAACCAACAGTGAGAGACTTCATGCACTGATGCCATGTCGTAGTCTGGTCGCTCTCAGGCTTTTCCAAGCTTGAAACTACTTCGTCCAACATTTCTGTGATGAGGCGATTGGCGACTAGGCATACGTAGTACGTGTTCCAACCATCTATGTCGATGAAGGTTCATAACCTCACCAACTGATTTACCTCTACTCCCTAAAACTCTATAACTGACTTCTGCGTTACTCACATGATGACACCACGGAATTCGGTCTGTACTACGAAGGCAACGGTGGTCAAACACTTGCACCCAGCCTACTCATGTCTTCCACCTTCAATGGTCATGTTCCACAGCCATAGAATAGAACAGACAGGACTGTTGTGCAGCACGCGCGACCCTTAATAGACAGTCGGATATAGCGGCGGAGCCACAGGTGGCGTAAGTTCCCAAAAGCCGATCGAGCCTTTTTGTATTCGTGCAGAGATTTCATCGGCCACTGAGCCACCAGGGCTGATCCTACTTCCTAGGCAAGTGAAGTCGTCGACACACTCAATCACTACACTATTATTAGCCGTGGAGGGGCACCGTTGAAGACCAATCCTGGAGCAGCAATTTGCATTTGGGTGGTGAGAACTGCATCCCAAACATTCTCAAATTCCCACTGAGTTTTCAGAAGACTCTAAATCTTGTCAGCGTCTTCGCGTAACAGGACTGACTATGTCATCTGCATATTATAGGTCTGACGAAAATTTTCCTGTGACTAGGTCAACGTCTGTGTAATCAGGTGACGAGAGAGAGACCTCCATAAGAATATCCATGATAAAATTGAATAAGAATGGAGACAATGGGAAGTTTTAACGGATACCGCTTGACGAGTACAGCTTCGCAGATATCTCATCATAGGCTGTAACACCACCGCAAGTGTTCGAGTAGAGAGCCTTCAATAAGGTGATGCACTTACTCGGCATGCCTTTCAGTGAGAGACATTGCCATTCTCATTACATTTAAAAAATGTTGTATGCGCTTATTTTGGTTCTAAGATCAAAGGAAGTTTCATCGATGTCTCTCTATGGCCTTTCATAGATGTTCGGTGGTGTGGCATTCTGTGAGTTACAGCGTTTGTTGCGAAAGTTACATAGTTACGATGAAATATTTGACTGAAAATCTTATAACAGTTGTTAGCTATGAGAATTATCAACCAGTTGTGCAACGGTCTGTCAGTGTATCTCTCCTGGTTGTACTGTGTTCTATGAGCTGGGTTGTTTAATCAGGAAGCTTTCATCATCTTTCTAGACAACATCATCAACACTAACTTCAGTGTGAAGTGAGCTGTCAATATCTCTCCTTGAGTGATTTAGAGGCTTGCCTTGACGATGTGGTTTGTGATTGGTTGTCTCCCTTGCTTGTTGTGTCATCGACTGACTGTTTAGATTTCCTTGTTGGCTGTTCCTCTGCTTGACCTCTGACCTTCCTGTCGTTTATCATTTTTCTTATTGGCTGAGAGAACACAATACAACCAAACTATCCACCTGAGCCGCGAATATTCTCCAGTGTACCTCTCCTTTATATCTTTCACACTTTCATTTACTAGACTGATGTCATTATTTTCAATGTGTGAAATATACCTCTCAGGATATGTAAGAGGAACAAGTAAGTATTTCAGCTAAGAGTCTATTTTCGGTGATTTCATTTTCAAAGCTGTAAACTGGCAAAACTATACATTTTTCTAGTGTAAGGATTAGATAGTTGAGAACGGTTAGCCAAGCATGACAACACAAACAGTGTCAATAAATGAGCTGTCATTAAAATAAAAAAAACTGTGATGAGTAGTGAATGTCAGACAGTTAATTTTAGCCTCAGACGTAAACAAGATTTATATGAGCTGCTTAAATCTCATGACGCCTGCTGCATCAATAGTATTTCTGCAGAAAGTAAATCGAGTGTGAACTACCTTGGGTTGCGTTTTACTTCTGACCTCTGTTGGTCATCCCATATTTTATTGACTTGTAAAAAAATCTTTCGTTTAACTTATTACGTAAAGAAATTGAGGCTTTCTGGTATAACTCAACTGCTTCTTTTACAGTTTATTAATTCCTGCATTTTACCTATTCTTCTATATTGTTCCCCAATTAATCTTTCCTGGTCTTCTTAAAAAGGACTATGTCATGTTGCGTAGGGCTTTGAAGACCGTCAGAAGGGTGAGTGGTGTGTCTTTGGCTCAACTGATTAACACTGTAATTGATCGACATATAAATTCCTGCAAGCTACTAGCTACAGAAATTTTAACTGACAGTGAGCATCCACTTCATTTACAGCTCTCTCTATGTATCTCCTCAGGAGGACAAGGAGAAGCTACATAAGACTGTATGCTGGTACATCAAGGTATAAGAATTCGACTGTACCTTACCTTGCACGTATATTTTGCGAGGAAAAACGCGCTAGAACAGAAATCACATATCAACTTTGTAACACTTAAAAATCCCATTTCAATAATTCAGCTAGCAATGCAAAACTTTCTTGTTTTCAATATTCTTCACATAACTTAAATTTTGATAATAAAACAATTCGAGAGGCTGCAAAGTAGTATGTATATACTTATATTTTGTTGTTATTGCAATATCTACTACATTGAGAACTCCAAATTGTACCACAAATTGTTTGGAATAAAGTCGAATTATTATTATTATCATTGTTAATCAATATAAGTTTGGACAAATGTTTCATGACATGACAACATAATTGGAAGGTGAATTGTGACCAGACAGAGCATAACAACATGAAAGAGTAGCAGGTTACTTAAGAGGTGAATAGTGTCAAAACAAAAAACTGAAAAGAAAGGGAGTTGGTACGAGAGATTTCAAAGACTAAAAACTAGGACCATGAAATGAGAAGCGGTTGAACAATCTTCTTTTATGTACACAATTCGTGTTTCACCATACAGATGGCAAGAGCTTCGGTGATGCAGTGAACACGAAGACATACAGCCTTTGGAAGGTTTCTTTTCACTTTAAAGATGATTTTGGATGAGAAGGTTCTTGAGAAAGAGGGGTTCATATTCATTGTGTTCAATTATAGCACTCCTTATCGCTCCATTGTTAGCCGTTTGTAATTAAACAGGATAGTGCTCTTGGACCCTTTTGGATAGCAGTCGCACTGAACGACCTGGCTTCATGTTGCTATGCTTGACAACTATTAAATCCTTACACTAGAAAAATGTATAAATTTGAGATCGTACAACTTTGAAAATGAAATCGTCGAAAAGAGACTGTTCATTGAAAATATACTTGTATACCGTTATGCCTAATGATTGTAATGTGATCTATACTTCTTGAAGTTCTTTCAATTTCAGGTCTTCGCTGACTCATAGATAATTAGTATGTTATTTACTGAATGAAAGGATACATTGACATCAAAGTGGTGATCACGTTGATCACCTAGGTTTGTCAACAGACCGAAAGAATTTCAGATAAAATTTTCACTTAATTACTAGTTTGAGTTGAAGTTCTTGTTAACCATAAATGTTAAAGTTTCTACATGAAAGTAACTATAGTAAAAGAAGTTGATATTATCAAAATTCTCCTCTCCAGGTGAAATCATCTTTCAAATTTGTACCATCCATTGAATACTACTGTCTGTTACAGTTATCATAGTCAGTATACAAAGGACCAGCAATTTAAAGTTGTTATTCATCGTAAACTGACATCAGTTGGAGGAACAAAAGAAACTTGGGAGCACTGGATAGCTGTTTCATCCTAGTATGGGACTCCTCAGCAGTGCTGCACCCACGACCCCACCAGGGATCGAACCCGCGACCTTCAGGTTCCCCGACCAGCGCGTTACCATTGAGCCACTGGGTGGCGGTTGCGCCATATCGTGAGCTAACGGAAACTGGAAATATGGAGCATTGGATTCTGACCCGGTAGCTCGATGGTAACGCACTGGCCGCGGAACCTAAAGGTCGCGGATTCGATCTCTCGTGGTGCGGGGTGGTGTGTGCGTACTGCTGAGGAGTCCCAGTGCTCCCAGGTTTCCTGTGTTCTTCCAACTGATGTCAGTTTACGATGAATAACAACTTGAAATATTTCCAAATCTCCACAACTTCCTCAAAATTTAACCAACAATTTAATCATAAATTGTATAACTGTATACTACAAAAAGTCTATCAATAAGGCTAGACTCACTGAATTCGTCCAGTTGAAATTTGTCGTTTTGTAAACTGATCACCACGATTTAATATTTTAATTGTTTTTGGTCCACCAATACTTCCAGCAATTGATAATTGTGCTAAAGCTTGTAAATCATCACCAACTTTCATCTCTTCAATATCCCATGCTTCTTCAATTAAATCTAAGTGATCTACTATCCCATCAATGTTTAACATACGTGGTAAACGTTGAATAACACCATATTTTGGTGTTTCTAATAATGTTAACATTAAATCATCTTCAGATGTATCAGTATCCTGAATAATAAGACCACCAGGTAATATATCTAATCGTGTCCATTTTTGACCATCCAATATGATTCCATTATTATTCAATTTATTATCAACATACATTTCTGGTGGATTTCGATTCTCTGGTCGAATTAACACATATGCTTTTCTCTCAACTGTATGCTTACCGTCTGATACAGTCACTGTAAATTGATCCATTATTAAAATTGATGATGAATAGGGTTTATCAATAGTTTTTATTAATGAAGCATTTTGTAGATATAATAAATTAAGCATACCTAAATATGATTCAGTAATTGGATTACTATATTGTGTTATAGTATACTTTTCACCATGTTGCCAATAAACTGATAAGCTACCATAAATTGGTAATTCAGTAAAACGTATTTGTAGCATATCTCTTGGTACATCTTTATCACTGACACTGAATAAATATGGTGTTAAAACTTTTCTTGTATCCATTGGTACTGAAAAGTATTTTAATAGTCTTACAGTTGGTATTTCATCATTTGTTGGTTGAATAGCTATTTTAATTTCAATTGTTTTCGGTGAATAGTAGATACCATCAAATGCTTTTATACTAAATATATCTTCAATTGACTCTTGACCATCATTATGTATAGAATTTACATAATATATTAAACCATCACGTATATTTTGCATATTAAAACTTAAAATATTATCTTTAGTTAATTTATCATTTGTTACTTGATCAATGTCCATGGAATAGGTGTAATCAAATTCATTGGACATTGAATTTTTATAGGATATATTTTTTTGATATTCAATTTTTTTTATCAATTCAATATGACCCCATTTTGGTGTATGTATAACATGTAATTGTATATCACCTTCATTTGTATCTGGATCTGAAGCGTATAAAGCGTAAGGAGTTATTTCAACTTTATCGCCTTCTTTTACCTTGACAATTAAAAAAAAAATATAAATAGAATATTTAAACAAGAAAATCTATTTTCAAAAATACTTTTAACCAAAAGCTTAAAAGTGTTGAAAACTGTTAGTTAAAAAGGAAAAAAAAATAAATTATTTTTCAAAATTTACTTAGGTAGATTTGTTAATGGAAATATTTTGGTGATTTAATGTGTATGAACTAAGAAAAGCGTCGACTTAACTAGACACTAAAATATCTATGGCGCCAATGAACACATTTCCACATATCTTTTGATCAACTGTCAAATCAAGAATATAATCAGTAAAGCAACTGTTTGAATATCATATGCATTTCAGTTTCTCTTCAACTGATGTCAGTTGTATGACGTAAACTGTCTACATTTCAAAGATGTTCTGAAGATAAATAAAGTAGGTTAAACGTTTCATTGGTATATCTAAATGTGTGTACATATATGACGTTCTACTGATAGAGATTATTACCAGACAGCATTGGCTGTAACGTTAATAAATAACTAAACCCTTACCAATTCCTAAAAGAATTTTCTGCCTAAGTTTTTATAACAGGAAGCTGAGAGTATCTGGTATTACTCAGCCTCTTCTCTCATGTTTTATACACTCCTGCACCGTACCTGTCCTCCTCTATTGTTCTCCTTTATTTTTCCCGGGTTGCTGAAAAAAGACTATGATATATTGCGCAGAACTTGGAGTATTGTCAGTAGAAGTAGTGGTGTACCTTTAAACCTTCTAGTTAAAACAGCTGTGAACAAACATTGTTTTTATATCCCGGGATATAAAAACAATCGTAATAAAACTGTACCCGTCGCACAAGAAGTGGCTGTCGTGGCCCGGTGGTGTAGTGGATAACGCCCTGGCGTTTGAAGCGGTCGCTCCCGAGTCCGAATCCCGGTGGGAATAACATCACTCACTGGGAAACAGGTACATCCAGCTGACGAGTTCCGAATAAGACGAAATGTGTATCCTGGATTTCACTGCTAGCCACGATCCATCGTTAATATAATTAGAACGCAGGCAATATGGAGGCATCTGCACAGGAACTCATATACCAATAGAGACCGATCAATTCAGTCCAAGCAACGACGGTATGATATAAAAACAATTACAATCAAATATATTAACTCATTTAAACATCTTGAAGGAGCTATTTTATCAGATGCCCAGCATTCTCTTGACTCAAAACTCTCTGCTTGTTGATCATCTGGAAAGACAATGGGGAGTTACATAAGACTTTATGCAAATACTACAAAACTTAAAACTCTACAATATCGTATTAGGCTCATCTTCAGTACGATGAAGAAAGTTATACAAATGAACTAACTAATCAACTTCTGTTTTTGAGGATTATCTAACTGATGAGTACACACCTTGTTACTATTTATGTATTACTTAATGTGATTGCTAATGTGATTGTCTACCTAAATTAACTATGCATTTTCAAGAAAGTTGTAGATAGAGTAAGTATTCTTATCTTTATCTATGTAATTTCTACTTATTTCATTTTGCTATATATAATGTACAATATTTTTGTGCAAATAATGCTGTATGACATGCTGAAAATTCTGTAGAGTATTCCTAAAGTAGATTTCTGAATAAAGTCATTATTATTATTATTATTATTAGATTGATTCAAATGTGGTATCTGTTGTATAGCTCATCATGTTGTTATGAATAAATTTTTCAGCAGAGTAGATATAACTTTCTTGGTGACAGTTAGTAAAATCCAGACGCATATTTGTTCTCGTTAGGACTCGTCAATTGGATTCTTCTACAGTCTAGTAAGTGATGTTAATCCTATTGCGACTCGAACCCAGCACTTACGACTTCAAATACTAAAACATTATCCACTAGGTATATGGGGCACGATAACCACTTTTTGTGCAGCGGGTCCTGATTGTTATTATTATTTGTCATTACTCTCTGTTGTTAATTGAATCAAACTGATCGACCTCTGTTGGCTTCTTTGAGCACGCCTCGATATTGGTTAGATATTTATCGTCTTGAAGTTATGGGCGCTGGCTTGAGCTCATTCAGGAAGACATCACTCATTGTGGTACAGAATACCCAACTGACGAGCCCCGGATGGGACGAAACATGCTTTCTTGATTCCCTTCCAAGCCCCTACCAGAGAAATTACAATAGTGGGTATGCATGTTAATGCTGTTTGCACTTTTATGCAAGATTCCTTAATAATGACTGCTGACAGAAAAGATGTGAAATGAATTGCAATGGAGATAATATTTTGCATTGCATTTTCGTGAAATCTTGTTCATTTCGGAGGAAGTATTTCAGTATTAGTCTATAAAGTGTCCAGTTCCCACTTTCGTTAATTTGGCAGCGACATTCATAACAGAACTGATAGATTCTGTATAAATCTTGCAACAATACCAGTGGTTTAATTATTGGATAAAACACCAACCTCTATTAATTCTACGTTCCCCTCAGGGTGAAAAACTGGATGATATTAGTATTTAGTTGAAGTAGACTTGTTCCGTTACTACTGATCAGTTAGCCGTCTTTCATACAAACTATATTAGTGTAAATTCTCAGTCAGCTAAGGAATTTGATGAGAATTATTTTTTGAGACTTCTTTGATGGCAGGTTAACAATGCGACTAAAACAGGAACTTTTAACTTTAGTGGTTAACAATACCAGCAGATAGGGAAAGTCTAAACAATCAGCAGCAATCACCCATCTAATACTTAGTATTCTTAAAGAGTCATTTTCAGAATGAAGGCTACTGAAGTCATTGCGAAATGGAGACAATGAGTAGTTCACTTTCATAGTAATTGCAAAATAGATGAACAATTTGATAGTCTTTTGGTTGCTAACTTTCTCTGTATACACCACGACTTATCAACAGTGTACTTCCACAGCCTCATGAAGATTTGAACTTAGGAAAGTCAGATCACGTGATGAGAATTTTGTAATTAACCCATTAAGTTGGATCAGAATATCATAAGCTTTTAAAACTTTGTTAGTTCACGATATAAAATGTCTCAAAATGTAACCAAAAAAAGCTTTATGGTTTTCAATAATTCACGATGAAACCCATTCAGACCTTTACAGACTGATTGATGGTGATTCATAACATTATGTGAAGTAAGTGCTAAGGAAATCATATAGCCTGATGATGAAAATTCCAAGAAAAAACTTGAGTGATTGGTAAAAATCGAACAGATATCAGCCTCATTCTGATCTACAAATCTCCTCTACTGTCACATAGTTTATTATTGTATATGTGATCGAGCAGTGATGAATTTCGACTATTTAGAGACTTCAGCCTAGTGGGACAGCGGTGACCCTATTTCATGTGGATTTTAGGCAACTACTTGAAAGCCTTTTTGAATGTATCTTGTGGTCTCATCATTAGAAAAATGGTTTTCACTGTTTTTGAACTACTTTCTTTTCGGACAAGCATAAAGTAGTCATTGTTTTCAGACTAGTTCATTCTTCAGAGCATCAGTTATAGGAAAAGTCATCTCCTAATATTTTTTTCACTATTATTAGTCTTAAATAGGAAAATGTTACTAAGTGCTGTAAGGATTATTACGTAAGAAGATTACTGGTATTCAAAATGCTACAGCATCTTGTAATTTCCCAGAAAGTTAGTTAGTCGCCAGAGTGTCGTGTGAAACCTTGCAACAGCACATAAATAAGGGGATGTAAACATTGACAACCACGTAAACCGAATGTCGTCAAATTATTCGCTTTCCTTCACCTAAGATACTTGTTAGGAGTGAGAAATTTCAAACTTGTATCAGTTCCTTCTAGTAGATTACATAACTAGTCTGACTGTCTGAGATAGCCGTAGTTTGGGACACTTGTTTTGCTGGTACTGGATGATAAATAAAGGTGAAATGACAATTTCAGTCGTTGTGAGACTCGAACCAGGTCGGTACTGTACCAAATGAGCTGCGGAAACCAGCTGCTGCAGATCCGCGTTTTACTTCAATCAATAAGGGTTTTATCCAAATTCTATATGAATTCGTGATGAACTATTATCTCTTAATCGTATTCATATTTGTCGCCCAGCCAGGTCTTCTCATTCCAAATCTAGACCAAGCTGAATTAGAGAAGGTGTGCATCATACTGGTCATCAGTTTGATTATTTAAAATACCTTTGGTTTGACAGAATCGTATAATTGTATTAATAACCTGGTATCCGTTGTTTCTAATTCAACAGCAACCCGAGTTTTCATTTCACCTTCAATCACCACTCAGTATCAAGGTTCCATTACTTTCATGCAACCAAATAACGGTGTAAAAGTTTTAACAAATGAATTAATCACCTTGCGCGCTTATTCGACTGATGTTTGGGTTGGAAAGCTTGCAGACACATTAACGAAATTTGGCTCTCAAGAAAACAATTTTCACAGTAATCACTACATTCTCTTTAACAAAATGAGTCAAGGAGGGTTTGTAGTTTTCGAAGCACTTTGCTTGAGCCAGTAAACCGTCATAACTGTTACAACGGTCTGATATATTACCTAGCATATTTCAACGATGAAAGTACCTAGAGTTAATTTATATCATTTACCACTTGGTTTTCTGCAATATATTGTTCAAAAATCACCATACTTTAAAATTCCATTTACAAATTCATATTATCAATATTATTTCTATTCATTGACATATTTGTTATTCTCCGTTGTTTTTTTGGATTGAATTGTTCAACCTCTAGCTACAACCAACCAAACTATCCTAATATAGGTACCTTAACATGCATTTCTAAAAAAAAGCTTATTCATATTGTAACAGTAAAACTAACCTGTAATAATGTTTCACTTTTAAGTATCGGTGGTTGACTATTCACTGGAATCAACGTAAAGTTTAAACTAAATGTTTCTCCAGCACTAAAATCCCATATTCTTACAAAATCATAAGCAACTTTTACTCCAATTTCTGCTGGACCATGACGATAAGTTAATCGATTTTCTAATATATCTTTATAAGTAAATTGTGATACTTTATTCTTATCATTTAGTAGTAAAGTTCCCTTTGTTGGGAATACAATAACAAAGTATTGTGGTCCAGCAGATGATGATAATCCAGTTGGTAATGCATTTATATCACTTGTATCAGACGGAAAGACAGACGGAGTAAGTATTACACTGCTGTTTTCTTTGACTAATATTGTATTATTGACATATTGATGCCATTTATTCCCTTGTAATACTCTTGGTTTAATTTCAATTGGTATTTGAATCGGTGTTGATAATTGAACGCCATCAGTTACTGTCAGTATAAAGTCATCCTGCTTTACATTGTCTCCAGACTGTTGGTATCTATATGACAGTAGGAAAAAAATAAAAGTAAATGTATGGAAAAGTGTTGAATACGTTTTGAATTCTAACAACAATCTAATTGATGAAGTATGAAAATTAATTTTTCACTGGAGTGTAACCAATTTCATGGTTTTTTCTATCAAGTGTTCAAGGAATTCTACGAATCATTTTACAATGTGATCACCAAGTTAAAAGATTAGTCATCGTATGTAGAAGTAGTAGTAGTACTGTAGTGGGAGTTGCTGATAAGAATGGATATAAGTAGTATATACTGAGAGGGCGGCAGAAATCATAGGGAATTACCAGCAATGGGTAAAGATTCTGCCCAGACAAACGTAGGGGTCAATGTGGGTATATTAAGAGAAAATCAAGAGAGAAACAGAAGAAGAAATGAAGAACATTATGCAAATGACTGTCTCGGTGCAATGTGTACCATATTTAATGACTACTGTGCTATATGTTAATAATAAACATCCCTACCTTTGTCTTCTCGTTTCCTACAGTACAACAGAAGGCTAATCGTGTAACGAATGGCTTAGTGTTAAAGCCTGTGATGGTACCCATGAGGTGATGTTAGTTTGGATCTCTTCAGGGGGGACAGTTCTCTCAAGATTGCCTATTACGCATGCACAGACTTCGCACGATACGAGCGCCAAAAGATATAATGTACAAGATAATACATCATTACTAAGGACATATAAAATTTATAAAGAAATGTGAACAAAAGCAAGAGTAGAAATGGATTAGTAAAGAAGCAATCCCAAAGATAGATTCAGAGCAGTATTCATTACTTGTTTTCCACTTTTAGCTAGTCAGAAGCAGCCATATGATCCCTCTGAATTTGATTCCAATCCATGTACGCTACTGTATCTAGCTATAAAATGGTGTCATCCGTCAGTCCTTATCTAGCGAGTGGTGAAGGATCCAAAAATGTTAGCTGAACAAAGTGATTCTTCATCCTGGATTGTGGTGTCAGATATCAGTCACCTCTCCTCTTTCTTCAGTCAGTCCCATGGCAGATGAATAGCAAAGAACATGGGCCCCTCTAGAAAGACATATATAGCATGCATATATATATATATATATATATATATATTATATATATAGGCTACTGAAACTTTTGTTTCCAGATATGTTTACTTGCTGATTGAAGACGTCTGTCACACTTTCACAAATGACATTTCACTTCAGAATCCCTTACACAACGATTTCATCGGATGCTAACAATTCTAGGAAGTTTAATTTGATCGAACAAGCTGAGAGAGGTCCAGTTTCACATGCATATAAGAGAACTGCCCACAGTGGCATGCTTTATACCTAGTACTTTCTGAGAAAGTCTTGCATGATGATAATGCAATAGGCTATCCAGTTTAGTGTTTACTATTCTGAAAATCAGTAGACGGTTACAATTACCTGAATCTGACGACGGCCGATAAGCAAAAATCCTAGGTCCAGGACCTCCTTCCAACTGCTTCCAACCTATTTAGCCTAAGAAAAAGTACAAATCTTAGAAAACATTTTCTCAAGAATTACGCCCAATGCAAACCAGTCACTACCCTAAGGTTCTGGTAGGCAATAAAAACTTGAAATTATCGCTCAATGCATTAGTTAAGGTAGATGGAGTAGGGTCTAATCCCATGACTCAGTTATTCAGTGACGATGCAAAGAACAGTTCATATTAATGTCATAAAGTGTGCATGAAAAGTAGTTTAAATCAGTGAATTCATGAACCAGAATTTTCATTATCCCCAAACAATTTAACGTTCATATTTCTGAAATGTGAATTGTCTCAATATAGTGTCTGCCAGAATCAAATGATTAGGCTTGAACAGATGTCAGAAGAAGAATTCAAAGTTTGATGTCATGCATCTGACTGGTAGCTAGTTGGTAAGCAATCAGACATTGGATAAGATAATTCTGGAAACAGGTGTACAATATGCGCTCTGAATATTATTGAGCAGTACTTCTGTGGAGCGTTTTCTGTAGATCCCACAATTGATGACCAGAGCTACGTATATACATTAGAAAAAATACTTTGCTTAAGTTGTAGCTAACAAGTCAAGTTGTGCTTCATTCACCAACTGACAATATTGGAAATAGTTTGTAAAATATCTTATCGATGTTTTATCCTCACAAATATCTTTTTGATGTAAATATGCTCCAAAACATTGACTTTTCATGAGAAAAGTCCTGTTATTTAGTAATTTTCAATATTGTTTCCAAGAAGATTAGTTTGTAGTAAAAACTATCCGCAACGTTTTGTCACCGGTCAATGTCAGTTTCATAAAACGGAATTGATATCCTTGACTAACTAGTGAACCACTTCAATCTCTAACATGATTTTAAGCGAAAAAATAATATTCATGGTTCAGGATCTGGTTGACAATGGTCTTGTGTTCATCCAGCTTCAACAATTCATCATGGATGCTCCTCACATGGTTTTCTTGCATCATCAACAAAGAACAGTAAACTATCGCCTTCTGGAACCCTTCAATAGTCATCGATTACAACTAGGAAGTGTTACATCTCTACACTCAGATCACTGAAACTGTGATAAAAATAAGTTTTAAAGTAATCCCACCGCGTTCAGAAAATCAAAAGGGGATCATTCTGAAGTTTTTGCTATGTATTCCATAGTTTCTTCAATAGAAACGGAAAATTCTTGTTTTAACTTTCTAAACCCACTGGAATTATATTAAAGGTCATTTTCGCAATGATTAAATCGAATATGGCGATCAAATTCTTCCAGGAGAGTTGTGACAACTACAGAATGAATATTTATAAATTCGCTTAAAGTTAATGAATTTGACTTCCACCATCTTGAAGTGAACTTCAAATGTATATATTTACATGTTATCTATACGTTTATCGATAAGGATGAATATCTTACTTATTGTGTAAATAAATAAATAAATGAATAAATTGATTAATTATTAATTAGATTATAGAATTTGACCTCAAGACTGTAATACTACAAATAACTTACTATTATCATTCTCCTCCAAAAATACCATCTAAGTATTATTATAAAACCATTTAATGAAGTAAATAATACACTTTCATATGTATAATGTCGAATAAAGATGTTTAAAACACAATGAACACTGAACACGTTTGTAGACTGACCAACTAACCGATGGCTTAAGGTTATACAAGGTTAAGTAGATTGTTTTATCTAAACAATAACACAATGATGATAGTAGGCCAGAGTGTGGTTTAGACACATGACAGATTTATGATATCCGGTATACTTAAAGTTGGCTGAATATTTTTAAGTTTAATATCAACTAAGCAATAAGCTAAGAGGGGCAAAGTATTTTTTTCATTTGACACCTATGAATAAATGGTTATGAAGGTATTTTTGGCAGTTTTACTATTTACGCCATAACGAGACGATAATAAATCTCATGTCGGTATTCATCATGGACTGACATCAGTTGGGAAGACACTGGACAGCTGTTTCGTCCCAGTATGGGACTACTCAGTAGTGCGCACCAACCACCTCATACTGTCAGGGATCGAACCCAGTACCTTCAGGTTCCGTGGCCAATACGTTACCATTCAGCCAGTCCATGGTGAATACGAAATCAACCAATCCCCATAAACCCCCAAATTCACCTAAACTAGTGCTCATTGGCGACTAGCTCCAAGAGGTTATTCCTGAAGTTCCAAAGAGAAGTCGTTACCTGTGGGGCAAACCTAGTGGACATGAGGACAAATATTCAAAGATAACATTGGATGATGGTTGAGCTATGACTTAAACTGAGAGAAGTTGAAAATATGGACCACTGAATCCCAACCTAGTGGCCCATTAGCAACGTGCTGGCCACGGAACCTGAAGGTCCAGGGTTCGACCCCCGATGGGTCATGGGTGCGCACTGCTGAGAAGCCACATACTAGGACGAAACAGCTGTTCAGTGCTTTCCCTAAGTCATGTCAGTCCATGATGAATACTAACAGGAAGTCCTCACAAACCCCCAAACTGGATAATAAATCTACTCTAGGTTGTAAGACGCTATTGCGATTTGAATGAAGGGGGAATTACAGCCACTACACTTCAGAATAATTTAAATACGATTGGGAGTTGAGGACAGTAGTTAACATGGTGGTTTCTAAGGTCTAACAAGTTAGCTCTAGAGACTGATGTTTTATTGTCTGGTATGCGTCACAGTCATCCTTTGTTTTCAATAAAACATTAGTTAAGTTATCTAAGTCACCTTCGAAATAGATTTCTGAATGATTCACTGATGTGACTTTATTTCATATTAGTACCGAGGTATAAACGAGTATGTTTTATAATAATTATCGAAGCCAGAATAGTGTTAAGGAAACTAGTCTCAGTAAACATGACTGACATCCCAAAAGGCTTGGAAATATGTAAGGTATAAAATAAAAAGTAGTAAATGATGCGGTGAACTTTAATAAGTGTAGGTGGTTTCAACATATATTGCACATGACCGTTTATCTTTCGATGAGATATTCATTGGAGTGGAACTCGGCTGAAAAAGAGCTAAATGGCGTCAGACTAGAACTTAGTTGCATGGCAGAAAATGTTTAGCTTTACTATCCAAAGTACTTATGATCTTTAAAATCATTAGTTGTAGACTATATACGACGTGTCTTATACCCAAACTTACTTCTATCCAGTCCACAAGTAAAAATATTCTTACTGACAACACTTCGAAGATATTACATAACTAGATTAGATCAAGATTAAATACTTAGAAAACGAGGAGTCAATCAGCTTCAGTAGAACTATTGGTATTACTGATTACCGAGTAAAAGAAGCCCAGTACGTGTGAATCTAAAGGTAAATATTAACAATATAGAAAGAATAAGTTGAGCGAACAATTTTTTTCAATAACTTCTTCTTCTTCTTCAAGTTCTACAGTTGTATAAATCCATGAGAATAAGTGAATTACAATAGCCAAAATAAGGCATGATATATAGCTATTACTATATTGAAACACTCAATGTTATGCGTAGTGACTGGAAGTCAAATAGAATGGAATAGTGGAATGGTAATCAGTCCAGTGTATTAGTTGTGCAATGAAATCACTATTGAGAGAACAATTACAAAATGAAGAGAAAGAATCTACAGAAAAGGATTCGTTTATAATACACTTACTAGAGCATGAATGTATGTGTGTATGTTTGTTAAACAAGGGTCAAGTAATAATTATGTAGTGATGAGTTATATTCAAATAGGGTGAAGAACATGTGAATACTATAACGACATAGATAATAAGAACTGTGGTGTTATGTCACGGTTGAAAATGATTGCCCGTAGTAGTAGAGCAAACAAGGGCATAAAATCCAATGCTCCATATTTCCAACTTCTGTTAGCTCACGATATAGCGCAGACCGCCACCCAATGTCATCGTTGAGTATTTGTCCTCACGGCCATCAGGCTTTGACTCCACCGGTCACGACTTGTCATTGGAACTTCGGAATACTTCTCGAAGCTAGTCACCAACGAGCACTAGTTCAATTAAATTTTGAGGGGTTGTGGAGATTTGGAATTATTTCAAGTTGTTATTCATCGAAGACTGACATCAGTTGGAGGAACAAAGGAAACCTGGGAGCACTGGACAGCTGTTTCGTCCTAGTATGGGACTCCTCCTTCCTTTGTTCCTCCAACTGATGTCAGTCTTCGATGAATAACAACTTGAAATAATTCCAAATCTCCACAACCCCTCAAAATTTAATTGAACTAGTGCTCGTTGGTGACTAGCTTCGAGAAGTATTCCGAAGTTCCAATGACAAGTCGTGACCGGTGGAGTCAAAGCCTGATGGCCGTGAGGACAAATACTCAACGATGACATTGGGTGGCGGTCTGCGCTATATCGTGAGCTAACAGAAGTTGGAAATATGGAGCATTGGATTCTGACCCAGTGGCTCAATGGTAACGCGCTGGTCGCGGAACCTGAAGGTCGAGGGTTCGATCCCTGCTGGTGGGGTCGTGGGTGCGCACTGCTGAGGAGTCCCATACTAGGACGAAACAGCTGTCCAGTGCTCCCAGGTTTCCTTTGTTCCTCCAACTGATGTCAGTCTTCGATGAATAACAACTTGAAATAATTCCAAATCTCCACAACCCCTCAAAATTTAAGGGCATAAAAACTAATAACATAAAAATATGAATGTTTATCAATGTAATGACGGTATAGAAGAAAGGGATTCGTAGGTTATAATGTGCAATTTGTGGTAGGAAAATTTATCAAGAACTTGTCAACCCTACTGTGGGCCAAGATAAACAAACTGAATGCACGTATTTCCAAGCTGGAAAAAGGTCCCAGGTGGCCAGACTAAAACATCACACCAATGTATGAAGTCTCTGACTGTTGGTTTGAGCCGTGTGGGGTGATGCAGATTAGGTGGTTGGGGTCCGCCGGAAAACAGAAACCAGTGGTTGGAGACTGACTCTAGGGGATATGGATGAGAACCGATGTCAGTAACCCAGATGTATACACACATCATCCTCATGTTAACGACGCTATACCGAATCTTCCTTTCTTTCTTCTCGCACTTAATATTTCTTTTGACTGTGTTCTCTTATCTTCATCCTTCACCTCACTACCTTTCTACTTGATGTGGTGATATGAGGTGTGGCAACTCGGACAGTTAAGCAGTAATGCCTGGTCCTATGTTGATACTGATTGACTGAGTGATTGACATATTTCTTTTGAACCCATAGGTTCGGTTTTAATGCGTTGATACTTATGGCTTCGGCTATGGATAAGATGTGTAGTCGTGCACCTTTAGGGAGATTGCAAGGGACATGCTGTATCACAGAAAAGGCGTGATCTACCTTAATCTGATGTCCGGTATCTATTAGATGTGAGACAACTGCACTGCTAATAATCTTTGTCATTCCTTTCCGTAACGAAGATGGAACGTGTCCACGAGTGCGCCTGGAGGTGATTCTTGAAGTTTCAATGAGCAGTCATGACCAGTGGAGTCAATCAAGTCGAACATGAGGACAGTTATTCAATGACGATATTGGATGTAGATAGTGCAACATCGTGAACTGACAGAAGTGAAAAATGTGGTCCATTGAGTTCCAACCCAACTGACCAAGGAACCTGAAGGTCCTGAGTTCGAACAGTTCATGTGAATCGATAACACTCTTGATTGTTTCACTAGAAAAATTAGCAATCCTGGATCTGGTTATTGAGTGTCGGGTATGTAGGAAACATTATAAATGAAGTAGACTCCATTATGGGTTATCCACACATATCTAATAGTGTGAATAACAATTAGAGGGATTTAACTTTGAAACATTAATGAAACACTTACATAATTTTTCTCTCTTTAAATAGACTAAATGGTATCGTTTGATTCTTCACCACTGGTATAGTCTGTCGATGATGGTCTGAAGAAGAAGAAGAAGAGGAGGAGGAGGAGGAGGTTGAAGAAGACGAAGATGGCTGACTTAGAATAATTTTGCCATACTTTGGTAAACGTTCAAATTGAAGTGATAATTTCTCTTCTGGTGTATCTAAATCATCAATTGACACTACACTTGAATCGATGGATAATTCACCGTCACGATGTACTCTCAGTGGAGACTTGATCTAGAAAAAAGAATAACATGAAGTGAATGGATGAGAATTCTTCTTCGCATTAAAAGACATTGGATACTGGATAGTGTATCATTAGTTTATACTAATGAGATATCCATTCACCACACTGTTTAGATAACCTTTTAAAAAAGTGACTACCTTCAACATGTAATTCCTTAAGTTCCAGTGAGACGTTGTGACCAGTTGGGCCAACCAAGTCAAACATAAGGACAGTTATTCAGTGATGGAATTCGATGAAGGTGACGCTATATTGTGAGCTGACAGAGTTTGGAGATATGGACCATTAAATCTTGATGTAGCAGCTCAGTGATAACGTGCTGGGTCCTGGGTTCCATCCCTGGAGGTATGGGGTGATGGATGTGCACTGCTGAGTTGTCCAGTGCTCCCAGGTTGGGTCGTTCCCGGAGTTCCTTGTTGCTTATTCTTTGTGGCCATCTAATTCGATCTTCAGTGTTGAGTGAGCACAGGCAGCAGCTGTTGATGTATGATGTCTGTAGTTTGTTGGAAGTGCTTTTCGTGACGAGCCAATTTTCCGAACCATATAGAAGCACTGACTTCCCTAACTTAGTGTTGAAAATCCGTACCTTGTTCTTTGTGCTGAGTGGAGTGCAGTAGATCTCCACACTGATTTGAGGTTAGCGGAAGCCTGCCTTGCTTTTCCAATCCTGTTTGTGACATCCTCGTCTGTGCCACCTGTGGTTGAAATGATGCTGCCAAGGCAGGTAGGTAGGTGAAAGAGACTACTTCCTTTAGGTTTATCTCTTTCGTGTTGATTGGTGCTTGTTGTTGATGCTGTTGTTGGTTGGGTATCTTCATCACCTCTATCTCTGTCTTCTCTACGTTCACCTGAAAGAAGTCCCGTCTTCGCTGTTTCTTCAGTCAACTTGTTATTTTTCGCCAGTAGATCTTCGATCTTGTGCGACAAGACATTAGACACAAATCATCGGCGAAATCCAAATCTTCCAGGATCTTTTCATCGGTTCAGCGTATGCCCATCTTCTCGCTCCTCACGGTTCGCTGCATGATCCAGTTCACCAAAGTGAGGAAGATCATGGGTGATAGTAGGCATCTTTGTCTTACTCCTGGCCTCACTTCAAAGGTAGGTGAATAACACACCTGGATGGATATTATTGAAGAAATGCAAAAATCTTCTTCATTATGTTTGTCTTGATACAAACTGTGCAACTGTCATCCAGATATTGATATTAACATTCAACTTTGTCAAGTATATTTTGATCTAGAGTCTTTAAAAGTTTTGCCAAGAGGATATCTGCTAACACAGGGTCAAAAGTTAAGTCCATCTAAACTCCGTCCACCTGTTTATAGAAGGAGAAATGAATGTTCACTAGGCATTTTAACAGTAATTCCTTAACATTTCAATGTCTATTTTTTTACTGGTATGCTCTGTAGAGTATCCAGTCAACTATTTTGGTAGGTTGAGCAATAGTGGTAATGATGCTATATGTTGTAACATTTTAATCTTTTATGATGGATAATGGCCAGCAGCTGAATTCAGGGTGCGCATCTCGTCCTATTTGGGACTAGTTAGCTGGATGTACCTGCTTGCTAGTGAGCCATGTTGTCCCTCACTAGGACTCAAGCTCAAGACTGATTGCTTCAAACGGTAAAACGTCATTCACTAGACCATTGAGTCTTAATAGCCACTTCTGGTGAGACGGGTGTAGTTTTAATTTTGTTGTTTGTATTATCCCGTCGTTGGGTGAACCGAATCGATCAGTATGTATTGACAACAATACTCTCTATTGAATAATACAAGCAACAAGAAGCTGATATAGTGACTTAGTTGTCTAGTGAATAACGCTCTAGCGTTTTATGCAATCGGTCCCGAGTTCGAGTCACTGACGAGTCCCAAATAGGATGAAATGCGCGTTCTTCATTCCACTGCTAATGACTATCCACCATTAATATATACTTTAAACACAGGTAATATGGAGGCACCCACACAGCAGCCCATATGTCAACAGAGAATGATCGATTTGGTTCACTCAACGACAGGATAATACAAACGACAACAGTGTAATCTTTTCCTATGCATTCACATTTTTATTGTTTTTCACAGTACTGAGTACTTCAATCAACCTGAATCACATTAGTTCTCCCTAAATAGGCTTCAATACAAGTATTAATCACTTTCATGTTGAATAATAATGAAATTCAGACACTTAGAATCTGGTAAAATGATATTCCAGGCATGTAGACCTTTAATAAACCATCAAGTCTAGACATATGTGTTATTGAAGCTGTAACTATATAGATTATGGGCAGATGACTAGGTATGGCTTCAGAAGACGTTATCTTTACATTTAGATTAATACTCAACTTATCTAGAGTAGAATCAAATTTCATTTTACCTTATTACAGCACAACTGTACTGTAATACAGTGCAGTGATGAGTAGACAGCCTGGTTGGGTAGATCCTAGCCTCAGACAGACAATTATTTAAACAGTTTTTAAAGGTGGAAGCTTAGCGATGAAATCAAAGGAAATTATCATAACGGTGATGTATCAGCTGAGGAGCACCTAAAAGTCAGTCGATTTGTAAGCTCTTAGATAAGCTAAATAAAAGTCAACGGTTGATATTCACCGGCTAAAAAGATAACCAATGGTATTGTTTAATGAACTTATGCAGTGGTAATCTAAGTTTTTTAAAAGAAATTTAACTCACCGGTATTAAAGTTTGGAGATTTTAAATAATCTGTTCAATAACATAAGAAGTCACTAATATACTGTGATGATTTTTCGCCTGTTCTGTAATTATGCAGAAAAACTTCTTATTTAACTAAAATCTCCAATTCAGAAGGCCTTTTTTCCTTCCAAACACTTACTTATCACTAATTCATTAAAAAAGCTTTCAAGTCCGTAGACTTTCTGGATAAAGTTAATACTCTGAAGTGTTAATTCCTTGAAAAATTTTTGGAGTAAACCTCGATAGAGAGTAATTTCCTGGATTTGTGATATTCAGTTAAAAGATTTAAAGGTTGACTTTTCTGTTAACTAACATAATAGCTATGAAGCTTGTTGAATTGAAAAATACATATATTCAGCTGTTTCATCCTAGTATTGCACTTCTAGGCAGCACACACCCCCCCCCTCAAACCCGCCAACGGTCGAACTCAGCATCCTCAGGTTTCACAGCAAACACGCTAACCATTCAGTCACTGGCTCGTAGTTCAGTGGTCCAGTTTTCCACTTCCGTCAATTTGCGATATAGCATGACTATCCATCAAGGTCTTCAGCTAGCGTCCGCTTGACCTCAAACTACATAGAGTAAAAATTTCTGGCAAAATTTGAAACGTCACTTACCAGATTATTCGGCCACCTTATTGATTTTAAACTAAGTTGTATTTCAGCATCGATAAGTCGCACTACTTTAAACCCTGGTTAAGTAATAAATAATACACATTCATTATGAACTGACATCAGTTGGGGAACCACTGAAAACCTGGGAGCACTGGACAGCCGTTTCGTCCTAGCATGGAACTCCTCAGCAGTAAGCACCCACTACCCGGCCAGGGATAGGAAAAGTAGTGGCTACCGCAACCAATAGGCTTCAGCTAGGTAAAGTATGAAACTACATGTACCCAACTATCATTTTAATTGACAGATTGCTGTGTTCGTGTGATTACATGATGTTGCTTTTAATTACTCACTTGCAAATCGAATGGGTGAGTGTGCACTCATAACCGATTCAATGCGCAAGGATAAAACAGTCGTAGTGATTAGTTTTACATTACTCTGAAGCGTTAGATTTAAATTTTCAGATAGCCGGAAATAATCATATTTCTCTTCTACTTTTCAATACTACCGTTATCCAATATGTGACACTAAACATAACTAAAATCATATTACAGAAATACCTCCAAAATTACTGTTGCAAACCTCTGTAACATAATCAAAAGTTTAGTAAGGAATAAATATAACGCAACGAGGACACCTATAGGGAAATATGACGTCTTATTTCATACGATTTCACTAGCTGCATACAACGTGAATAAATAAGAACTTAGTTACTCCTCAGCCAGAACATTATATCAGACAGTAAAAATCTGCAGACAAAACTCTAGCTGATCAGATAATGTTCAACTAGTAACAGTTAGCTGGTTAAGTTATTTAGATTAGTATGAGAAAACAGTGTTTGCATCTGCATCACTGTGACTGGTTTTTAACTAAATCACCCTTAGTCTCCAACCTCTAACTCCTGTCATCTCAAGGAGCCTAGGTGTTGAGTATGTGCGCTCAAACGGTCAGACCTCATGAGTGGGAAAACTGTCTTGGTCTAGCTGCCCTTAACTTTCTTCCAATCTAATACTGTTTCGCATAATACGCAACTTCCCGATTACTGAAACCCCAAACAACTTCAATTTATCGCCATAAACAATCGAAGTCTGATCCCAGCCATAACATCATAACCAACACTAACATCATCAAGATAGTATAAGATCGTTAAAAGGGGACGTCGGATGCATTGAACTCAATCAGCCAACTAAGCTGAACAGCTTGAAACTCCTGTCATTGATGTTTTCTCCTGTGTTGAAAGCGAATCCTGAAGATGAACAAGTCCCATCAACAAGCGACTCACGACAGAACAGGTTTCCACTTTTAAATCTGCATAAGGGGAACAGAAATGCATTCAGCAACCACGTGAGCATACGTGCCGTAGGTTGAGCTATACCTCACCTATCATTCGAGGGCTATTGATACCAGCTGACTCCCCAAATCTCAGCAAAGTCGAGTTCGGACCCATGACCCACTGGCTTAAAGTCAAGTACATACACAAATGCCCTACAGATTCATGTGAAATACCAAATGGATGACTTCAGGTGACAGTTAGAACAGAGACCCGGTGACCATGTTATAACCATCATTACCAGAAATATTTTTGACGGATAGGTACATGCGTAGTATTTACATTATGAGACACACAGGAGAATAATCTGGTTTTGTAAGGGAGTCCAATACTAAGTGACGTATCATTTTATTTAAATGGAATCAACTGCACTTCGTGATCGTACTGAATTCTAGATAAACTGAACCATCACAAGTATCCAGCTCTAAACTTCATAATACAGCAACACTGACCACAACTCTCTTGTTGAGTGCAATCCAGAATGGAATGTTTATTGAATTGAGGACATGCTTCATTCTCTACTTTAGACAGTAGAGAAATCTGCAGTCGTGCTTATCATAATATAACACCACCATCAAAGGGAAGGAAAACAGGAATAACAGACAAAATTAAGAATGAACGTACGAGACTTCGGTAAAAAACAGAATTAATATGCGCTAGCACGGCATTCCACATACCAAGGTCGGTATAGTCAGATAGTATCATAAGGTCTCATAGCTTAATTCACGGAAAGGCAGAGAATAAACAAAATCATAATCAGGTCACTCTTGGTATGAAAATTAAAATCAGTACTGCCAAGGTAGGTTCAATGTGTGTTTTTTTGTATACGTAAAGAGGATTTGAATTTACCGATGGCAATAGCCTCAATAAATTTAAGCACTCTTATGTAGCACTTTAAAAGCTGTTTTCTTACCTACCTTGCGGTTAGTTTCTAGTAAATGCTTAACAGTAGATGAAGATGAATGTTTGTTGCTTGCATTTATCGTATATGTTAAGGTCATTTGTTTTTGAAGCCACTTAGGTACACATTCAACCATCCTTAACTGCATATTACAATTACTCCTCCCTATCTTCTATATGTGAACACAAATACATGTAAACTAATAAACACAGTGCGATGTGATGCAATCGTTTATATATTGGTTTCGTTTGGGATGTAACATGAACTTTGTCTTCTTGACAGTGATGACCTCGGCTGTATAATATATTTCGCAGATGGCTGATCTAAACCTTTTCCTCACAACAAAGATATGTTAATCACTTCTGAATGGTAATGAAATGTAGACATTTATCTTAACAACAGAAAGTTACGTACTTTTTAATGGTATATATAACTTTTGCACCTGTAGATAAATTTCAACTAGTAAACATTCTGTATCAGTGTTTTCGTCAGTAAGTCGATTTCTTCCTTCTTCATGTCATACGTTCAGATGCAGTTTATCCTGTTGAATAAGTACCTAAGATTTTGTTCTATTCTCTACCTTTCTTATTCTTATGTTTCTCACTGACTTCATTGAGTCTTTAAGTAAATTTTCATATAAATAGTTTGACAAGTTCATGTGTAATCAGGCTGTTTGAAATGTATAGCTCTAATGCACCATATGTTTCAGATAACCTTCGTCTTCTCATTACGCTTTTAGATATGAGTTATATGTGCATAGATTTTAGAGCATTTGAATTCAATTATTCCAACATTTCGCACTGAGGTTTCATTCGAACTTCTTAAAGGAAATAAGTATAAAATGGATCTCAGACCGAACATCCGTGAGAAATCTTGAAATTATTTCCTTCGAACAAGCTGAGATTCATTTTAAAAAAAGTGTATAACTTATACCTAATGTCAAGTTCTCACTTGGCACCCAATAATTGTGTAACTATCTGATCAAATCTTAACCTGGATTCATTGAAATTATTTTCCATTCAATAAATAGTTATATAATCTTGAGAAAATAAAAAAAAACAGCCCACCTTGACCATTGGAGTTTGATTATCTTCAGCTACAAGTTGTATATGCATTTCTCGATTGATTATTTCATAACCACCTGGACCGGAAACAGCATAGCGTACTATCAAATCATGATCCTAAGGAAGGTAAAAAACAGAATTTCTCTGAGGTAAAATATCTAATTTTTCTCATGAAATATTCTATAGATAAATAATCAAATAACTACACATCACTCAACTTATTATAACCATACTTTTAAACATTTTCGGTTCCACTTACATATTTGTCGGATTTCATGAAAACGTATGATACTTCCTAATATGCCATACCGAATGTTTGCTAACATAAACCCTTTTTTACGATAATAAATTTTTAAAGGAAAATATGAGATTCCGCGAACCATTTGGGACCAACCAAACAGAAATGTAAATCTACCACCTCGCAATGAATTCTATCCAGAACAATCGGGTTCATGATGAGCAAGTTAACATTCGTCCACTGAAGTGGAATCAAATAGTACACAATTCCTTACTTCTGTGAATCCTCAATACAGTGCAATCATCATCCTATCTTATTGTTTAGCATTTCTCTTCACAATCAACTTGACTGACTCTATAGATTACGAATTTTTAACAAAACGTTGGTAAATCCTTCTTGAAGCAAATGACTGGTAAGCACTGTACAGTAATTAATTTGATTTTTTCTCATGTAACTAGTATTTATGGTTTCTACATATTTCTAAATTTGATAATAATCGGATAATTAGCAGAATGCTTGAGTCCCACTTACTGATTTCATAAACGAGGTGATGTACGAAGTTCAATCGTTTCAATAGATGCTTTTGAGAAACCATCATTTAACTTTTGCTACCGACTAAAGTATTCATCAAAGCTTTCAGAAAAGTACCTTCAAGAACAATACCACTGATGAGAAGCAAGTTACCACTCAAGTTACGAGGCCTCCATGACTGATTTAAATGTGTAGGTGATCATAAAATATCTAATTCTTGGTCTTAACCCTTTTGCTATTTAACCTGAAAGTACTGAGTTGTTAAAAGATATCACCTCCGATTTGGACTAACTAAGGAGGAGTAAGCGTTTACTATTCGTTGATATTCGCTAAACCTATTGATTGATTGCGTCTAGCATATGCTTACCTTGCATCAGACTGTTTTTTTGCCATGTAACCAGATTGCTGCACTAATCAAAATCGCATGTTTATGTAATGGATTAAAAATAGCAGCAGATATTCTCGTATTGTAACTAAGTTATGAAACCACTTGACTACTCAGGTGGAGGGAGGTAGATGGAATGAGTTCTAAGCTTGATACTCGTTGTTTGACAATGAGGTATATTAGCAAGTCAACCACATTGTTACAAGCGGACATATTATTTTGAATTACCGCACCATGACTCCTCTAAAAGATTGTATTCAGATGAACAGAATGAAACATTTTATCCTTCATTTAATCGATTGGCGATCACTATTCACTGTCGACTTCCAATTACCGTGTAACTGTTTATTCGATAGCTGATATTAGCTAAGTTATCAGAACTTTAACTTCCTTCTGGTTGCCTGGAAACACTAAGCATATCTCAAATCTTGAAGATTACCAATCATTTTGAATGTAGTTAGACAGAATACAACGCCACTCTACGAATTTATCGCATCTTAAAACTATGATAGTTCTTGCCTTATTTAAATTTATAAAGCGAATTCAATGTATAAAAAATCATTAGACAATGAACATTGATGGTATGAAAATTAACTACAGTTGATAAATAAAGTTATTTTCATCTTCATATTAAAAGGACTAATTCAAAAATCAACTGCTGGAAGGTGAATCTGAAATGGTAGAGAATATTTGTAGCTCAGGTGGAGAATCTTGGTTGCATTGGATTCTCTGAGCTGGGTTACTGAATCGTGCAGCTTCAAATATCTTTCTGCAACATAAAATCATATGCAGCACTAACTTCAATATGAAGTGAACTGTCAACATCTCTCCACGAATGACTCAGTAGCTTGCCCTGACAAACTGGTTTGTGACTGATTGTTTCCCTTGGTCGTTGTGTCATCGACTGCACAGATTTTCCTGTTGGCTGCCTGACCTCTGCTTGATCTCTGGCTTTTCTGTCGTTTATCATTTTTCTCATTGCTTGATACATTGGGTTCGTGTCTCTACATATGTTGATTGCTGGCTGGCTGACTGACTGGCTGACTGACCTGAATGACAAGCTTCTAGGAACTCTCTGATATTCTTCCTGTTTCCTCTCTCTGTCTAAAATTTCTACATTGTCGAAATTCAAATTCATATCCATAATTATCCATGTGCATTGAAATGCATGAAGAAATGTCGTGATGTTTAATAGCCAATCTGTGTTCATGTAGACGAAGGCGAAGAGGGCGACCACTTTTTCCAATGCAGTGTTGACTGCAGTTATTGCAGTTGATTTTGAGAATGATATTTGATTTTTCTTCTCTGGTTGTCGCCTCCTTTGGTCTGCATAGTAATGTTTGGAGGGAATTTATTGGTTTATGAGCCACACAAATGGTTGTTGAGGGGAGAATGTAAATCAATTAACAGTTCAATTCTTGAACATTTGGTCAACTCTGGACATAAAGCCAGACCACAACCCGCCTTCAATTTCATTTATTTTTTATTTACCAGTGATAATGACAACAAACAACAAAAACAAGAACCAATCACTGTCAAACTCGCCTGGATAATTAGTTCACTAGTTACTAGCCGGTCATAAGCCCGGAGAAAGAGGGAAGTAACCTTCATAACCGTATCGGGAATGAAGACGGAACAAGACAGGACAAGGAATGGATCTCGACGGACACATGGAAGCTGATAGAGAGAGGAGAGGAGAGGAGGATGGTGAAGCAGAAGATGACTCAGTGCAGAAGAGGCGAGGCTGCAAAGACGGGACTTCCTTCATGTGAACGTAGAGAAGACAGAAGTGATGAATATACCGAACCAACAACAACAACATGCACCAATAACCACCAACAGAACGGGTAAAAAGAAAGTAGCCTCTTTCACCTACCCAACTACCTAAGCAGCATCGTTCCAACTAAAGGCTACACAAGCACAGATCAGGACGCCCAAGCCAGGATAACAAGGACACCAAGACAGGCTTTCCTTCATTAATTCGAAACCGGTGTGGAGATCTACTCCACTCCACTACACTACACTCAACATAAAGCGTGGACAAGATCAAGATTTTCAACATTCATTTGATCAAGTCAGTGCTTCCAAGTGATGTTGAGAGACTTGGCGTGTTACGAGAAGCATTTCCAACAAAATGCAGACAGACACAATCAACAGCTGCCACCTACGCTCACTCGATACTGAAGACCAGTTTAGATGGCCACAAAGAATAAGCAAGGAGGAACTCTGGCTGGCTGGCTGCGTGCTGGCTGGCTGGCTGCTGCTGGCTGGTGGCTGGCTGCTGGCTGGCTGTGGCTGTGGGGCTGGCTGGCTGGCTGGCTGGCTGGCTGGCTGGCTGGCTGGCTGGCTGGCTGGCTGGCTGGCTGGCTGGCTGGCTGGCTGGCTGGCTGGCTGGCTGGCTGGCTGGCTGGCTGGCTGGCTGGCTGGCTGGCTGGCTGGCTGGCTGGCTGGCTGGCTGGCTGGCAACGAACTAACCAACCAACAACCCATCACCCAACAAATATGCAGAAGAAAGTGGAGTTCGATTGGATTGGACATACACTGAGAAGATCATTCAGAGACATCATGCACCATGCCAGGTCAGGCCAGGTCATCGAGTGGAACCGAAATTGGAGGCGACAAGTTATGTGTCCGAGGCGAGGGTGACATGGGGGAGATTGTATGAGGAGGAAATGAATGCTTGTTGGCAGTTGTGGAGCCAAGTTGAAAAGATCGCAGAGAAGAGCGTGAGATGGAGGTATGCTACTGAAACCATATGTTTCACAAGGAACCCAGGGGTCAAATAATATTAATAGTAAAGTTTCCCAGAGCTGGTTTCTAGCGAATTTAGTTCAAAAGAATAAATCAGCGGGAGAAGGCTATCATGACGATTTATTGTAGTGGGCGTTGCTGATAAGAATAGATATAGGTAGTATATGTTGAGAGGGTGGCAGAAATCATAGGGAATTACCAGCAATGGGTAAGGATTACGCCAAGAGAAACGCTAGAGACCAGGCAGGCATATGAAGAGCAAATCAAAAGAGAAGCAGAAGTATATTTTGCAAGTGATGGTTTTAGTGCAAGGTGTAGCACATTTAACGTGTACGGTTGACAATGGACATTCTTTCATGCACACCTGTCCTTTGCTTCTTCCACTAGTAAGAGTTGAGAATGACAATTATAACATGTAGGGCATTCCAGTTTGTTAGTTGGTTGGAGGCAGTTTGTCGAAGGACCAATTTGACCTGGATTTCAGGCTGATTACCACTCGTCAGTAAGACCTATCTTCAACCTCGAAAGAAATGATGTCCCCTGTGAGAACCGAACCTTCGTCAAACAGTGTTGTGGTCAATGACGTTATCACTGACCTGTTCAAGCCTCATTACATAATAATCTATACAATTCTGTCAGATAACCTAAAATTGGTTGCTCTCTAGTAGTCAATCAGTGTACACTTCAATTCAGATATTTGTGTAAAGTTTAACGATATCATCCGTAAAATAGATCTTGATATGTAATTCTTTGACTACAGGTGGAGAATCATGCACAGGATAGGGAAAGAGGACGTCAATTAACAATCTGTTTTGTAAGTGTGCACAGTGAAAACCTTAAAAATCATTGAAAAATTTTCACAAAAGTAAAATATACAATCAGGTTAACACAATAGTTCTACTTACTGTATAACCAATATCCTGAGTTGGTGGGATATAAACAATATCATTTTCATCAATTTGTCTTTGTGTAAACTGTGTAACACATGGTGCATGCGCTTCACGAAGATTGATAGCTAATCCAGCTTGTAATTTCATATCACCAACATGTGTACTTGAAGTGATCGAAGATAAACTTACTAAACGACCAGCATCATGAGTTCCAATGAATAAATCAGTTTTATCAGTTTTTATTAAGTCATCTAGCCTTCTTAATCTTGGTGCTTGAAGTATAGTGTAAATAATATTTTCTGGTCCAAAATGATCAAATTTTGATTGATTGTATTGTTCATCATTGTCATCATCATTCGATTGTACATTCCAATCTAATCCATAGTTTAGATGTAATGATGTTACTGGTACATAAGAAGCAGTTTCACGTACACGTAGAATAACATTAGGATCCATTCTTTCATTAATTACAATTGGTACAGGAGGCTTTTTAAAAGATATTTCAGAAAAGGAAATACAATCTTTTAGTTAGAAGGGAAAAATGAAACAATTTTCGTAGAATTATTCCTCAAAATATATTTCCCACTACTTCTATTAGATACGAAGAAATGAAGGAAACAGTAACGAGATAGACTGCATCTGTGAAATCCTGGATCTAACTTTGATACATATACATTTCTCATATTTGAAGGAGATGAACTTGAAAATCAGATTATTTGAGTGGCAACCCTGGCTACATTAAGTTTAAAGGCAAGTATGGCGTGCGTAGAAATACTAAACTTTCTGGTATCATATAGAGCGTAATAGATTCTATAAAAACTGCAGACAAGTATACGGAAACTCAGTTTACACAGAATAGCCTAGCGATTAAAATGTTAGAAGCTGGAAAGCAAACAAAGCATTTACCTAATATAGCAGTAAAATTTGGGGACTGTGGTCGATTGTAATTCCATTTTATTGTGTTTATTAGAGATATCACATGGTGAAACAGTAGCATTTACTGGATAACCTTTCGGACACAAGTTATTGTCCATATTCATATCAACAGGTAACTCCACAACTTCGAGACAGACTTTATATATTCCTAGTTTTCTCCCCTTCTCTGTGATGACACAGGTAGTAGAATCTTCCATATACTCTGGGACAGGTGCAAAATCATTCCTGTCACCACATGTGTTTGGTGTTGATTCGATAAACAAAGATTCGGTTATCAATCTCTCCCTCCAACCAACTGAGTTACACTGCAACACTGTCGCACTATCCCACTCTACTGTGTGGTTGTGTGCAATTGTGTGCAGAGCTATATTTGAGCTTTTCTCTAAATTTCTTATCTTATTAGGATCTACTAATCTTGATTTAGCTAAGTTGTTGTGCTCTGTTATTCTAATCAACCCTGGTCGACTACCTTGACCTGTGTACATATTTGACCTCGTAATCATTGTAAGGGATTTGGTAAACCAGATTATTTTGCTTGATTTCATCGATAAGATTTTTTAAACTACAAAGCTTGTTTTCAAGTGAGTTTGTTGGTTTGAATGCCACTTTCATCCCAGCCAGCCTTATTGAGAATTCTTCGTAATGCTTCAGTGGAGACTTCCATGTGTGGTAACACAGTAGAGGCTTTGAATTTTGTCTCAACCCTGTCACCATTATTAACATTAGTAGTTGAGTTATTATTAATAGCATCTGTATTACTACTACTATTACTGCTAATATTTTTCTTTCAATTTCATACGAACTTATTTATAAATTTTTAAATTCAAAGCCTCTACTGTGTTACCACACATGGAAGGCACCACTGAAGCATTACGAAGAATTCTCAATAAGGCTGGCTGGGATGAAAGTGGCATTCAAACCAACAAACTTACTTAGAAACAAACTTTGCAGTTTAAAAAATCCTACCGATCCAATTAAGTAAAATAATCTGATTTATGAGATCCCTTACAATGATTGCGAGGTCAAATATGTACATAGGTCAAGGTAGTCGACCAGGGTTGATTAGAATAACAGAGCACAACAACTTAGCTAAATCAAGATTAGTAGATCCTAATAAGATAAGAAATATAGAGTAAAGCTCAAATATAGCTCTGCACACAATTGCACACAGTCACACAGTAGAGTGGGATAGAGCGACAGTGTTGCAGTGTAACTCAGTTGTTTGGAGGGAGAGATTGATAACCGAATCTTTGTTTATCGAATCAACACCAAACACATGTGGTGACAGGAATGATTCTGCACCTGTCTCAGATATATGGAAAGTTCTACTACCTGTGTCATCACAGAGAAGGGGAGAAAACTAGGAATATATAAAGTCTGTCTCGAAGTTGTGAAGTTACCTGTTGATATGAATATGGACAATAACTTGTGTCCGAAAGGTTATCCAGTAAATGCTACTGTTTCACCATGTGATATCTCTAATAAACAAAATAAAATGGAAAGTATTTACTTTCTAAAGTTTCAATGAAGCATCGAACATGGAGCGTGAAAGAGATTTCAGCATGTTAAGCTAATTTACATGCATTCAACAAGTGATGTTTACAAATTCAATCACCATTTATAATGTTTATATAGAAGGAAAATTACTAGATTTTCTTTTTATGTGGGTGGAATATCTAGGAAATGTTAACAACACTTTCGAAAACACTTTGACGGAATGATGGAAAAGGTTAAGGATGAAGATGACGGTGCTTTGGTGTTCTCTGAACTTCAATTTTTTCTTGTGAACGGTTCATCACCAAGCTTGATAACATCATCAGCAGTAATTTCATAAAGAATTTAAGCGTATTCGGATGTTTAAGTAGTACTTTTGTTGAGTCTTAAGAATTAGAGTATCACCGAAACCAACGAAATTGCTGGGCAACATGTTATCAAAACCAAATGTTCCATTGCCAAAAGAAGATAGAACAAGTATAATCTATAAAATCAATTCCAAAGATTGTGCACAACACTATGTTGGCCAGTCTAGCTGTCGGATAGCTCAAAGACTTAATGAGCACCAACTAGCTATAAAGTTACATGATCCAACCTCCTCGGTTTCAATGCATGCAGACGATCATGATCACAAATTTGAATGAGAAAATGTGGAAATAACCTCCCCTGGTAAACTAGTACACTAGTTACTAGCTGGTCAGAAGCCCAGAGAAAGAGGGAAGGTTGGGTATACACCTTGCAACTCTACACCGGATAACCAATCCAACCATTACAGAAACTTCAAAGCATAGACAAAATATTAAAAATAAAAACAAACTCATTCCTCGCTGGAATCGGGGAGACGAAATGACACCGGTTGGTGAAAGTCTTCAAGAAGCAAATTGACCGACATTTCTTCACTCCCCCAATGAAAGCACCTACAAATAATGCAGATGAAGAGAAGAAGGAGGAATTCTACAGACAACAATAATTAGTACTAGACAAGACTACACTCCAGTTGGCGACGTCAAAATTCACTCTAATGAGTGAAGTGACATGAATGCCAAACTGGGAGTGGACAACACAGGAAGAGAACCAACCATGGGTCGAGAAGCATTCGGTGAAGTGATGAACAAGAATGGAGAACTGTTTGCAGAATTCCACACATCCAACGATTTGGTGTTTGGAGTCAGGCAGTGTATTCAAACACAAGGATATTCACGAGGCACAGATATGGATTTACTTTCACCAGACACCACAACACACCACACTAAAAATCAAATCAACTTCATCTCAATGTGAAGAGAGTGGAGACGCAGTCAGCCTACTTGACACAAAATCAGATCAAGGAGGGGAGTAGATGTAGGCACAGACCAGTCAACATCCAATGCAAGCAACCTTCCACATCAAGTTGGAAGCCTTCACAGAAAATGGTGATAGACCACAATTCAAGTTCAACACTCAGAACAGAAAGTGAATTGAAGGACGAAACTACAAAGGAAATCTTCACGTCAGCCAGTAATCAGAAGAAAATGGGAGATATAGGGTGACATCCCTGAAGAAAGCTGTATGGATGAACACTGGAACTGTTTGAAAGAGATGTGGGAAGAAGCCTGCATCACGGTATTAGGAAGGAAGAAGGGGAAGAAGCAAGACAAAGAATGGATTGCACCTCGATGGACACATGGGAGCTGATAGAGAGAGGAGAGGAGAGGAGAGGATGATGGTGAAGCAGAAGATAAACCAGTGCAGTGCAAGGATGAACAACGAGAAGAGAAACTGAGTACAACGCATAAAACACTACACTGGACTAAGAAGTGAAGAGGAGTGCACGCAAACACAAAACACACTTCCACGACACACAGGCAAGTGAAGCAGAACAGTCTGCAGGTCGCTGATAGGAGAGAACTGACAACACTGTATTGAATAGACAGGTTACTATCCATCCTGGAAGAGATCAACACAGTTGAAGTCAACAGAATATGATGAAGGAAATCGAATTAGGAAAGAGGAGAGAGAAAGGAAACGATGGTCTGACCACTTCAAATAAGCTCTTCAATCGACCAACACCACCACCTACACTTCGTCCAGAAATACCACCTGCAACCCACCCACAGAACTACTAGTGAACACAAGCCATCCAACGACGAAAGTCGAAGTCCTCAAAGCTATGAGGCTGCTGAAATGCAGGAAAGCACCTTGACTAGATGGAATCTCACCATAGGCACTGAGAACAGACGTAGGGACAACAGCGGAAATGCTCACACCACCACTACAGAAGGTTTGGAAGGAAACCAGAAAAGGTATCTGCCTGTTGATTGGAAGAGGCGACATCTTGTCAAACACCCGAAGAATGTAGACATAAGTGTTTGCAAGAAGTGGTGAGGAATCATGCTTCTGTACACCCAAATCAAAAAATTAAGCCGCATCATCCTGGAGAGACCAAAGGATGCACCAGATTCAAATTACTACCAGAACAGACTGGCTGGATTTAGGAAGTACAAATCATGTGCAGATCAAATCGCAACGCTATGCTCCGCATCATCATAAAAGACGACGTAGAATCTCACTCAACTCAACTCTACCTCAAATCCATCGACTTTAAAAAGGCATTCGACCGACAAGTAATTTGACAGGCAACTGCTCAAACACTACCGAATAACACAAACCTCTATCTACATCATTCAACAACCATTTGAAGACGCCATGTGACAAGTTATTCACAACGGGAAGCTCAGTGATGCCTTTGAAGTGAAGACAGGAGAGGGAGGAGGCTGCCACCTACTATCACACATGATCTTCCTGATTGTGGTCGACTGGATCATGCAGCAAACTGTGAGGAGTGAGTAGATGGGCATATGCTGGACCGATGAGAAGACCATAGAAGATTTGTATTTCACCGATTACTTGTGTCTGATGTCACACAAAGTTGAAGATCTACAAGTGAAATCCAGTAAGTTGAGAGAAGAGGCAGGGTGGAGCAGGGCAGTGAAGACGGGACTTCGAGTGAATGTGGAGAGGACGAAAGTAGAGTTGATGAAGTTACTCAAACAACACGACCACCACCACCACCAACAACAACAAGCTCCACTCATCATGAACGTGAGATACTTAATGGAAGCTGCCTCTTTCATCTACCCAACTACCTGGGCTGCATCGTTTCAACTACAGGCGGCACAGGCACAGACACAGACGAGGATTTCAAAAGCAGCATAAAGTGTGAACAACATCCGAAGTTTCAACACCAATGTCAGTCAACTAAGTGCTCCCATGTGATGGTTGGGAGACTTGGCACGTTAACACAAGCATTTCCAACAAACTACAAACATTCATTTACAACTGATGCCTACGCTGACTCGTTACTCAATCTCAGATGGCCATTATAGTATGAATAAGCAACAAGGAACTCTGACTGGGTGGTAATGAATCAACTAAGAATCCATTACCCAACAAATCTGTAGAAGAAATTGGAGGTGCTTCGGATAGAGCATACACTGAGAAGACGATTAGGGGACATCATGCAGCATGCGAAGTCAGGTGACCGAGTGGAGGTCAAATGGGAAACGACGAGTTGTGTATCCGAGTTGAGGGTGAGATGGAGGAGGTTGTGTGATGAAGATATGAGAGTTTGTGGGCATTCGTGGATCCAGGTTGAAAGAGGAGATTTCAGAGAGGAGAGATTGGAATTGAGGTGTGCTACTGAATTCGTATGTTCCACTAGGAACCCGACGGACAAATAATTATAATAAATAATACTGTGGAAATCCTCCATACAGCAAGTTCAAAAGCTGTACGAGAATTTTTAGAAGCATGGCATTTCAGTGAAACATCAATTAACAGACATGTGAGTGTAGATGCAATCTACAAATAGCCATTTCTCCATCAATTAAAGGCAAATTTACCAAACAAATCAATAATGATGCATAGCGTGACATTAGTAAATAGCATAATTCCACTGTAACACAGATATCCTACTAATGTTACTGAAGAAAATTTAAGGTCAAAGGGGTCAAAGTATAAATAAAATCTCTTCCTCAACACACAACTTATTTAACATCTAAGGTCAATAGAACACTATCTAGACATTCGGATCTGATTCACTTCCTTACAACGTTGATGCTGAGAATGTCATCAAACCTGATGATGAAACGTCCACGAGAAAATATCAAAGCTCAGAGAACACTAAACCATCAATAATTTGATGTAGTCTCACTGTTACAATGAAATTTGTAAAATTGTAAACAAATTCAGTCATAACAGCTGGCACACTGGACAAGATGGGTGCCCTCTTAATTAATGATTCCAATGACAGAGAGTTTGTTTCTAATCCAGAAGATTCCCAGATGTGTGACTGAGATCAAAGTACGTCAGCAATCAGATGGTATTGTAAAAATAGATCAAATTTATTGTTGAGAAAAGAAAAAGTCTGCAGTAGGACACAAGTGATCATAGACTTTGAAAAAGTTATGCAACAATGTATCATGAATTCATTACTGTGAGATGATGGAGAATATTCGTATCGCAGAAGGAGGATTTTAATGGTGATGGGGTTGTTGTGCACTCTAAGCTGGATGATTTCTTTACGAAGCCTCACTTATCATTCTAGACAACAGCATCCAGCAAAAACGTGAAACATGATATATATATATATATATATATATGCGCTATATTGATCTTGGTGACTACCAGAAAAATCCAAAACTTGTGTTTCGCCCTATTCAGGACCCGTCAACTGGATGTACCTGCACCCCAGTGAGTGATGCTGTTCCCACTGAGACTTGCACCAAGTACTCATTGTTTCAGACGCCCAGGCCTTATCCACTATGCCAGTGTGGGCACAATAGCCACCGCTTGTGCAACGAGTATTAGTAGTTATTGTGATACTTGTAATTTCATGCTGCCAACAGAGGTTGAAGAATTCGACCATGTATTGCAACGTGGTGTATTGAAATCGTTAGTGGTTTCGAACTGTTTTGTTTACAAGTTATAAATAGTTTCAGACTATTTTTCAATAAGAATCAGTGAATTAACTAAAGAGGCTTGTATTCTACCAGTGGACTAACCACGTTCACATGTTTGAGTGGAAGCAATGAGCAGGAGGTCATATTTCACCATGATTTCGTGCTCCTTTGGCATTTGCCAACCAGGCGAATCTGCAACATCGAGACAGGTGGTGTCCCCTGAGACACTCAAACCCACATCACCCAGTGTTATAGTCAATGAGATTACCAATGAGCTATTCGGGCCACGTTCAACCGTCTTCAGGATTGGATTGACCAGCTCAGAGTGACCAGGTTTATTTTGTTCAGTGCTAAGGAAATTCCCTTCAACCAACTAACATTTATCAAAAATATACTGTGATGCACAGCCTCTTAATCTGGCGGCCATACTGCAAAATGATCCATGTAAATTCGGCCATTACTGAGTACCAGGCAACATGAAATCGGTTGCTCTCCTGTGACTAGTCAATGTATTCACCTCATTCTGTTTAACCTTATAGCTGGATACGCTGGACTGTCTCGTTCAAAAATGCATCGGCATAAGCTCGAAATTGGGAATACCCGATTTCGTACAGCCCCACATTGTACAGTTTAAAGTAGAAATATTTGTTACAGTATCCATATTGTTCACTGACAGGTTGAAGATCTTACTATTAAAAAATATCATTCGCAGAGGACCCTAAATTACGTAGAAATATTTGTCCAGAATTATTTGCTGATACTTGTAATCTCCTGTTGTTTTACTGGATTAAATTGATCAGACTCTCTCGGCATGTAGACTGCTATGGGAATGCTTCGATATTGCCTGGATATTCATTATCGTCACTCACTTGGCAGTAGCTGGTTCTAGGGTCTAAGACGTGCCCTTCAGAATATTTGGGGCTCGTCAGACGGAAGTATCTGAACCACCTAAGTAAGTGATGGTATTCCTATTGGAACTGAAAGCCTGTAAACATTGCTCCAAGCGTTAAAGCTTTATTCAATAGATTACTGAGTCTCAATGAAAACACCATCACTTACTGGGGTGCAAAGTATATCCAGCTGATGAACCGTAAATGCATGTCATAGAATCCCTGGCTAGTCACAACCATTATAACTTGTTTAAAATGTTTTTTTTCATATGAGTCAATCTGTTTTAAAATACTTCTCAGTGAAATCTTTGAGAAAAGAATTATCTCTTTGAAACTGCTTAAACTCACTTGAATTTCAAATGTCATATAAACAGTTGGAAAATCAGCTCGACCAATCTGTTTAATACCCATCAAATCTGTTGCACGATCATAACGCTGATTCAAGTAACATACTTCACCTGTTTCTAAATCTGAAAGAAGAATTACTCCAACCTGTAATTTATTCATCAATTCTTGTTGTTCAACAAGCAGATTCCCATCATCTTCAGAGGCTTCTTCAACACCAAAATATTTCATGTCAGACTGATGTTTACCATTATATTTACGTAGTGTATGAAGATGATGATAATTTGTGAAATTATTCACTATTGGCAACCTAAGTAATATACCTTGACTAGGTGCTACTTTTACAACAAATGCCAAGTTTATCAAATCACTGCGTGCAGCTTTCAAGGCTTCAGGTGTCAGAAAATCTTCTGCTGTAAAAACATACTGATGTTTGTGAAGGCAGTTGAAATGTAGTGCCTGATTTCAAGGCTCCATTAATAACCTAAAAAAGAAGACAACATAATGGATTGTTGAGAAGTTAATTTGTAAGTTCGCAATAAATAGCTTTTTTACTCTTTCTACAACACGCTGCATTTTGTAATCATCTTGATGACTCACAGTGGAATTCAGGACCCAGCATTTTTCCTATCTTGGACTTATCAGGTGAATGTACCTACACCTCAGTGAGTGTTGTTCCCACTGAAATTCTTACTCACTATCCACCCCTTCAAACACCAAAGTGTCATTCATTAAGCCACGTGGGTCACCACTTGTTATGCATTTTAGTATTGCAAGCCTTCAACGTCAGAATTTACAACAACTTAATGACAATTACAATCAAAAAGTGATTTTATAATTCAATACTTGAATAGTTAATATTGATAGATAATGGATAGGATAAGTTATTTCGTAGTTCAGAAAAAGACTGACTAATCGAAGAAATATATTCATTTTCAATTAGGTCTTCATCTTAGGTTCTACACTTATATATATATATATATATATATATATATATATATATATATATATATATAATAAAGAGAGAGAGAGAGAGAGAACCAACATCAGCAGGTCAGTACACACACTTATTCAGTGCCATACCCCTCCAATATAAAAGGAACCTGGTGAAATGCCTAGCATACCATGCCATAGCTATTTGTTCAGATGATGTTATAAAGGAAGAGTGCGCCACCATTTATTATTTGCTTAGTAGGACTGGCTACCCAGAGAAGTTTGTACAAAGTAACCCGAGAAGTTACATCATGTTGACGGCCACGGTAGCGAAAGTGGCGGAACAAACTTCTTTTGAATACAAAGGCTAGGTTTGTGAAGTTGAATTGCAATCGTCTCTGGTATGTGAAGTAAGTGAGTGCGTAATCCACGTGGTAAATTAACTGGAATGTAATGAATGATTTTGAAAGCTGTTCCAGTATTCAGCTGATGTCCCGTATCAACTAGGTGTTCAAGTATGGAGCTCTTTATTGTTTTACTTTGTACCTTGCCCAACTATGATAGGTGGTGCTCAGAAATTCGGTGATGGAGCTGCCTCACTGTAAGTCCAACTACCTCTACAGGAGCAGCTGAACTGATAAACATACATGGAATTGGTAGAATCAGGCGGTTTGTCTTTATTTCTTGCACCTTGAATTGCGCAGTTGTAGAAGATGGGACATAATTTAGCGGCTGGGAATGCTTTATGCAAGACTCTCTGTATGCACGGTATGATCTCACTGACAATGTCAATCTTGAATTTCAACTTCAAGAAGATTTGCTTTTTAGAAGCTGCTGGCTTTTTTATCTTAACCCTCGTAATATTCAAATGCTTAGTTACAAACTTTTCTGGGTAGCCAGTCCTACTAAGCAAATAATAAATGGTGGTGCACTCTTCCTTTATAACATCATCTGAACAAATAGCTGTGGCATAGTATGCTGGGCATTTCACCAAGTTCCTTTTATATTGGAGGGGTATGGCACTGAATAAGTGTGTGTATTGACCTGCTGATGTTGGTTCTCTCTCTCTCTCTCTCTCTCTCTCTCTCTCTCTCTATATATATATATATATATATATATATATATATTAGTGTAGAACCTAAGATAAAGGCCTAGTTGAAAAAGAATATATTTTTTCACTCAACCAGTCTTTTTCTAAATGTCTAAATGTATTTCGTAGTCATTACTTTGATTTGTCTTAAATTCCTTTAAAATTATTTTCTGTCGATTTTGGCTCAGATAATATCTTTTAGGCGGAATATAAGTACTGGTCTAGAAGATCGGTTAATTCCTGACAACTGTCTGATAATTACAACTGTCAAACTGTAGTCTTCCTAAAATATTTTGAAGGTTTAAAACAATGATCCTAGCAGAAGATTGTAACTTTGCAAAAAATGGGTGTTTATTTCAAAATAATAATCCTCTTTCTCAGAATAATATCAAAAGTATTTTATTTCAAAGTTGTCTCTGGTTCGATTCCCCCCTACAGAACAAAGTTGTGAGAAGATCTAATTCACTGAATAGTTTGAAAATATCCAAGTATGTATGCTTTTTAGAAACACATATGCTTGAAAAATCCATTCATAAGTTCCGTTCTGTGTGACTGAAAATAATAATACCCTCAGAAAAAACTCTGATAATTTCTTACTTGATAGCTAAATACCTTTAGGATATAAATGACTGAATAATCTTCAGAAAGAATAGAATAGAAGTGTTTCTCAATAATCTTCGATTTCCAATGGTTTCTCAACCTAAAAAGGATTCACTATGAAGTATATCTTTAAGTACGTTAAATAGTTTACTTCTGCTTTCCAGAATCTGATTTTAAGTAACATCATTGTCTTATGACATAACATTTTTAATTTACAATCTTCTTGTAAACAGTTAAAGGATGATGAGTTTATGCATAAATCATTAGTGGTTGATCATTTCTACGACACATGATAACACTGAATAAAGTCAAGTAAGTGGATATGAAAACAACTGTTGAAATAATTTCCAGTAACATATAATCATTCCTGGTAAACATTCATTCAGGTTATAATAACAAGACGACAGTTCAACTGATAATTGACATGACATTTTACAGAATTCATTTAGCTAGTTAAACTGTTAAATATAATTATAGGTAAATATATTAAAATTTACCGATAGGTTTTAATTGTAAAGCCCTGCTGTTGGTTTTGGTGGTTGTTTGGTGTGGCTTAATGGCAATGATCTAAAGTAAACATACTACTTACTGATGCTGTTTGATGATTGAAAGTGAAGTGGAAATTTGAACCACAGCCGGATTCGAATCAGAGACTACCGGATTTAGTAACACACGATAGTAACGTATCACGAATTCACATGATAGTCGAGCAAAATCCTGACTTGTGATCAAAATGAAATGAAAATTTGATCGACAGTCGAACCTCGTAGCTCAATTGGTTTGGCATCGGGCCGGAAATCCGGTGATCGCTGGTCCAAGTCCAGAGGTGGTCCAAATTTTCATCTCACCTTCAATCATCACCTAGTATGAATAGTAGCCTGCCAAACAACGGCTATCTCAGATGGTCAAAATGATATTATGTATTATCAAGGTGGTATTCATTGTAAAGTGAAATAACTAATGAAAACATCGAAATATTTCCTAGTTATAAGCAAAGGAGAGCATGTCCAAACTATAGTCTAATGATGATACTTTCATTTTCCGACTCGGTGCTTTACGTGTCGAACCTTCCTCCAAAGTTAAATAATCATGAGGTTTATTACAGAAGAATTGTTGCCATAAAATTACCTGTTAACTAAAAAGCTGACAGCATTCTTATTTCTTTGAGAAAACTTCTTCATGGAGTGTATGCAGTTAGTATTCCGTAAATAACATGTTACGAGTGTTCAGGCTGTATATAAATCCTACTATATAAACATGCATTAACCAGCACGGGCTTATTCTCTGAAGAAGCTGCTTTCATGAGCTCAGAGGTCATTGGGATTTTAAAAATACGTTTCCTTTATAAATCATTTATCCAACACTGAAGTTGTTCAATTCTATCAGGTCAAATGTTGATTTTACACTTCATAAAAATTATAAAGTCGACCGTTTCAAAGAAAAGTTGAATTCCATATTTCAAGTTACACATTCACAATTTTGAATAATTTAACATTATCTCTATTGAAGAGATAAATCACTTCCAAATGTGTTATATTAACATGGAATTTATCATACTGAGGAACAATCTGGGTGATATATAGCTTTCGGCCTGAGTTATATCACGTTAATAGAGTCTGAAGAGATTCACTAGTCATAAAATTATCAAGTTAATCCTGATGCTTTAGAACAGCTCATATCTTCTTCGCCTGATCTCATTCACCAACTACTGAAAGACTTTGATAATTCACAAGTGTTTACTTTCCAATCACTTTTCTAATTATTAATATTATTATTTATCCATTGGGTTCCTAGTGGAACATACGAATTCAGTAGCACACCTCAATTCCAATCTCTCCTCTCTGAAATCTCCTCTTTCAACCTGACTCCACGACTGCCCACAAACTCTCATTTCTTCATCACACAATCTCCTCCGTCTCAACCTCACCTCGGACACACAACTCGTCGTTTCCCATTTGGCCTCCACTCGGTCACCTGACTTCGCCTGCTGCATGATGTCCCCCAATCGTCTTCTCAGTGTATGCTACATCCAATTCATCTACAATTCCTTCTACATATTTGTTGAGTGATAGGTTCTTAGTTGGTTCGTTGTGGGGCCAGCCAGAATTCCTTCTTGCTTATTCAGACTATTATGGCCATCTGAGATTGAGTAACGAGCCAGTGTAGGTGGCAGTTGTTGATGAATGTTTGTAGTTTGTTGGAAATGCTTGTGTTAACGTGCCAAGTCTCCCAACCATCACATGGGAGCACTTAGTTGACTGACATTGAGGTTGGGACTTCGGATGTTGTTCACGCTTTATGCTGAGTGCAGTGCAGTGCAGTGCAGTGCAGTACAGTACAGTGCAGTGCAGTGCAGTGCAGTAGATTTACACACTGGTTTCAGGTTGATGAATGTCTGTCTTGGTGTCTTTCCGATTCTGGCTGGCTTTGACATCCTCGTCTGTGTCTGTGAATGTGCCGCCTGTAGTTGAAACAATGCTGCTCTACCTAGATAGTTGAAAGAGACTTCTTCCTTTAATTATCTCACGTTGACGTTGATTAGAGCTTGTTGTTGTTGTTGGTGTTGCTGGTGGTGGTCGTCGTCGTGTTGTTTGGGTAACTTCATCAACTCTACCTCCGTCTCCTATCCCTTCACTCGAAGTCCCCTCTTCACTGCCCTGCTCCACCCTGCCTCTTCTCTCAACTTACTGGATTTCACTTGTAGATCTTCAACTTTGTGTGACATCAGACACAAGTAATCGGTGAAATACAAATCTTCTATCGTCTTCTCATCGGTCCAGCATATGCTCATCTACTCACTCCTCACAGTTTGCTGCATGATCCAGTCGACCACAATCAGGAAGATCATGTGTGATAGTAGG